GGAAGGATGGAGGCTGTAAGCATGGAGGAGGTGACTGAAAATCTGAGTCTGAGTTTGAGATATTTAAGGCAATTACACAAAAATTGTAAGTCTCTCAGCTCAAGACCTGAAGTGCCTTCAAGATGGAGAGTGTGGGTGAGCATTCCCATGTTTGCAGACATTGTGTCAGCAGTACCTTCCTTTCTGAAAACCCAAAGCGTGCCATAAACCCAGGTGAGATCACAGAAGGTTTCTTTAAAAAGAAATTAACAGGTTCCTTCTAATACAAGGCCCAAAACTACCAGCTTCATCAGCACTGGAGTGTTTTGAGATTCCTTTCTCCAAAGAACTTACTAAAAATGGAGCAATAACAAATGGGAGGGCAGTAACACACATCTTCTCTTGGCTCTCAGAAGTGCTTGGTTAACCAATATCCCCCTCTCTTGGTAAGGGGAGATGAACTGTGGCCAAGATCCTTGTCCTTTGTTTTTCTTCATCTTCTGCTCTCATCTTTTAACCAGATGTGCTACGCCAAGAGTTCAAAAGACTCTGGGTAATTACATCGGTAGTACATCATCTTGGGAGAGAGAAGAATGTTTGCTCCATGACTGATGGTGGTGGCCACACAACACCACGCATACCTATCTAATTATTAAATATTTATTGCACCTTTAATATGTCAGTTACAAAAGCAAAACCTTCCAGAAGAGCAGGCTGGAAGGAAAGGGAAAGTACAATTGAAGACTGCTGCTTTGTTGCAGTGTCATGGCCAGGTGCACATCACTAATTTCCATTGTAAGGCACTGGAAAACAGCCTGGACTTTCTATGACAAAATCTGATGCAGCTGCGCCTGGAGTTGCTGCCTCTAGCAGCTTCCTCATTTCTGCAACTCTGCACCATTGCTTCATGATGGACATAACTGACTATCCATGCCACAGCTATAGTAATATTTTCACTGTAGCTGTCCCTTCTACTGCATCACACATTTGAGTGGTTGGGTGACTTAACAGTGTTTTGGGGAGACAGAAGTTTGTCTTAGATATGCTCACAGAGGCTTGGAGGGGTTAACTTGTGAGAAGTTAGCACAAGGTGCTGGATCTGGGTCCCCGCTCTCTTTTCCTTTTCCTTTGTTCTTCCTCATTTTTCCCCTCATTTTTGGGTTTTCTCACTCTCCATCACATGCTTATGGGGAAATGGAACATGAGTGACTACTGTGCCCAAAGCCTGAAAGAGCTGGCTTTCCGTTGGTGAATGCTTTGCAATGACACCCTTGGGATGTCTGGCTGCAGACCCCTGGCCCACCTCAGGTCTCACTGCTCAGTGGTGTTTCCTCCAGTCACTAACACACACTGGTTCACGAAGCAGGAAAGACAAAAGCGAGCCCTGTAAAGCAGATGCATGTCTCCAGAGCCCAGCAGGTTTGCTTGCCCTCAGTTCCTGATGGGGAATCACAGCTGGAAGGCCGCTGGCAGAGGCACACGTGGGGCTGCAGAAGCATCACACTGGGACCACGGACCACTGTTCTGACTCATTCATCCATATGGATGCCACAATTTAAGCCCTACCTAACTGGTCATACTGCCAGGGATCACTGCTGCCCACCTTTCCCGTCCTGCTTTCCACCGTTATGGGCAGCTTGGAAAGAACTGGAAACGTAATTTGTTCAGCCTCTCAAACATCCCACAGGCCTGACTCTGAGCACACTGAGGTTCACCACTGGGTCTGGGCAAAGCCCTTCCCTGCTGCTGTGTGTGCATGTTGCCTTCACCCAACAGGTAACAGAAATCAGCACAAGCAGAGATTAAAAAAAAACAGATGCCTTCTGTCCGAGGAGCTTTCAAGATAATTAAAAGAGGTCAAATTTTCACTGAAAACCCACCTGGATGTTTCTGAGGGTCATGGTGTGTGTGGGCTCTCCAAAAATACAGCTCTTTTTACTGGCCTACATCTAAGTGGTGCTGATTAATTCACTTGAGGGCACCTAAATTTAGCCCTGCCAGCTTTCTCTCCCACAGTCTTTCCACACATCAAAGGAGTGTAGCAATTCATTCTTATCATGCATGGGTGGCATGAGCATTCATCAATGTCTCCAGAGCTTTTGCAAGAGAAACTGTCTAAGGACTGATCTTTGAAGCCTTCACTGCACTTCTACTCTGTCCTTCCTTGAGACACGTTTTCTGACTTTAAGGAGCAAGAAAAACCACGTTCCCAAAGGCCAAAGATGTGGCTTTAAAAGTGCTTCCTGGTTCCCCCCCTGCATTTGTCAAGAGCTGCCTATTGGCTCACTGTTCTATCAAGTGACTTCTGGGTGTGACACAGCATACAGCAATCTGCTGAAGCACAAAATTTGTTTCATTTCCAACTTCCTCACAGTTGACTTTCATATTTTTAACAGCCATGTTCCCTCTCCGGTGGCTCGGGGGAGAGTCATGTTGCATTTATGGCTGTGAGGAAGGTGGGTAGCAGTGAGGGCACATGAGAAGAAGAGCCCCCCACAGATGAGTGACTGTGTGCGTGGGACTGCTGCAGTACTGTTGAGCTAAACAATGAGACACTCTGTAATTTAAAAAAAAAAAGACAAAAATAATAAGTAAAGTGGGTGTGTTTTCTGGGTGTATGGTTTTGTTTTGTTTTGTTTTTTTTCCCAGAGGACCCACATTCCTCTGTATGATTTTTATTATGTGCTGTCATGGTAGTAACTCGTACACTCTAAGAATCAAGCACAGATCACATAAACTGTATTACTGTCCAGTTATTTTAGGCACTCATACAACAATCCCACAGCAACGTTTTGGACTTCAAACTGCAGTAAGCCTAAGCATATACTTGACTGTTAGCACATCAGGAAGCAAATGGCCGCAGACAGGATCTGAGGACAGGGGGCACGTAGGCACCTCTCCCCGTAGTCCACAAAGGGTTTATCCACCCATGCTCGCCTATAGAAAGCAGTACTAAGGAATTTATTATCTGGGTGGGTTGTTTCCTTCCTTTGCTTACACTAGCTTCTGCAAGAGCCCTGTCTGTGATGCTGAGCTGAGCTGGGGCATTTGGGAGCTGGGTTTTAAAGGTGGTCTGGGTTTTTCTACCATTTCACCTCGCCCAGAAGCAGGTTCCAAAACAAGGTGCCTTGGCTGATAAGGCTTTCCTGCTTTCCCTCTGCTGAACCAGCCCCAGCAGCTGCACCTCCCTAAAGCGGCACAGGGCACATGCACCAGCTGCCTCTGACTGCCACAGGGGCACATGGACACCAACACAGTGGGGACCAGCTGGAAGAAAAAACAAACACCAGCAGGAGCTACCAAGCCCTCACAGCACTGCCTCTCACCCACAGATATCCTAGCTCCTCTGGCGTTGCCACCAGAGAAAAGAAAGAGGATGCTCATGGCATGGGACAGGCAGGGGAAAGAGCACGGAGAGCAGCACCTGAAGTGCTTCAGGTAAGCAAAACCAGGTCTGGAAAGGGCTAGGCAGCAGTTGCACCCACAAGCAGGGAGAAGAACAAAGGGGACAGCACTGTGGGGTCAAAAAAGAGAGCCCGGTGGTTGCTGTGGTTCTGCTGCTGTAATACGCCACACACTTCCAAAATATAAACCTGACTTATTCTCAGTACAAAATTCCAACCTAAGAGATCTCCAACATAAATCTCATGGGGCAACCTTTGAGGCTGTGAGGGGTGTTACCAGCTTTTCAGTGTTCACCACAAAGAAAAGCAACATATGAGGGAACATCCTGTGGGGATGTGTGTTGGTACCTGTAGCCAAGCCAAAATGCCTTTCATTTTCTTCTTTTTTTTTTTTTTTTTTCCTTTTTTTTTGAATGAAGAAGCATCTTTTTATCCAGAACACCCGTGAAGTGTTCCCATCCTCCGCTTAGCTGCATATCCCAGAACAAACCTTCTACAGGCTGGTAACCTGGCTGCTCTTTAGCCTGTAGAAATGCCCCATTCATGACACCCCCAGCACCAAGTACCCCAAAACCTAACATCACTTTTCCTGCTCCCATGTGGTGGGAGCTTGATTCAGTAACCCCATACTCCAAAATAAAAATCCTACCAGCCCATTAGAAGGAAAGGAGGGCTGTGACAGCCTCATTTTCCACTCCTCCACTCCAGGACAGGCAGTAGCGCAGCAGAGTGCGGTAGAACAAAGCACCTCTCCAAAACACAGAGAAGTGAATGAAATAAATGAACATTTCCGTTTGCGTGGGTCCCCTTGTCTGGGAAAGCTGAAAGTTGTTTCTGCAAGGAGTATTTCTGGTCCTGGCTGCCTCCCTCCAGCAGGTGAACTACTAACGATGCTCAGTGTCACTAGCTGTCTATCCCGATTTTATTGTTTACCACGGGGTGAGCACCGCTCATGTCAGCAAGCACTTCTGTGCTGCCAAAAGGCTGCAATCCACACAGAAAGCAAGCCGCTCTGCTGCCCTCCGTGCGTTTTGCCGTTGTTGTTTTGGTTGGGGTTTTTTTGTTTTTTTCGGGGGGAGGAGGAGGGGTAGAAAAGCAAGAGGGTTAGTGGGTAAATCCCACTCATTCCTGCGATCTGACCCACCCCTGCCTTTCGGGTTGGCAGCAGACGTGCTGTGCCTGCAGGGCGAGCAGCACCATCCCAGCCGCTCCGCAGGCCCCCTCAGAGCGCCGCGCTCCGCAGGGCGGGAGGAGGAGGAGGCAGAGCAGGAAGGCCGCGCGAGCCAGGCTGCCGGCGCTACCTCCGCAATCCTTCTTCCTGATCATCGTTACGCAGCACTTTTCTACAGTAGTCGCTGGGGCTTTTCCACTTGGGGTTGGGTTTGGAGTTGTTTTTTTTTTTTTTTGGTTTCTTGGGGTTTGGTGTTTTTTTTTTTTTTTTTTTTCCTCAGTGTTTCGCCGTGCCGCCGCCCCCCGGGCCCACAGCGCCGCCCGCCGCGCGCGCCCCTTCTCAGCCCGGGGGGGGGGGGGGGTGAGCGGGGATGGGGGCGGGGGGGAAATGGGGGCGCGGCCGCGCATGCGCGGCGCGGCGCGGCGCCGGGCATATAAGCGGGGCGGCGGCGGGAGCGAGGTGGAGCGGGTGACGGGGCCGCGGAGGGACGGGAGGGGACTGGACCGGAGCGAAGCGAGCGCAGGAGACGAAGGCCCGTGGCCGCCTGCTCGCCGTTCAGCCGCCGCACCGCGGGCCCTGAACCGTCGCCCCGCCAACTCTTCATCCCCCGCTTCCCCCCCCCCCCCCCTCCAAAACTCCGGACCGTCATCATGGTGAAGCACGTAGAAAACCTGGTGAGTCCGTTAGGCGCGGCGCCGTCCGTTCGCCAGCGCCACGGGGAGCAGCGTGTTCCTGCCTCCGCCTCGGGTGTGGTGGCCGCCGGCCCCGGGTGGCGCGGCGCCGGCCTTTCGCCCCGGGAGCGCAGGGGGAGCGGGGCCTGCCGGCGCTCCCGGCCGCTGGAAGGGGCCTGGGTGAGCCGGTGGCTGCCCGGTGAGGCCTGGGCGGGCGGGCGGCTCAGGCCGGGTCCCGGGGCTTCCCGCTTCGCTGCGGCGGGCAGGGACACGCACACACACACACACACACACACACACACACACACACTCGCTCAGGCCAAGAGGAAGGAGCAAATACCTGTGTGATCTAAGGCTTCGGGTAGTCCGGTGGAGAAGAGGGATGCTGTAATTTCACGTTGCGGTAAGATTGTTGCTTGCCTCCCTTGGAAGCCTTCAGGAAATGCCATGTTTTATTTCTCAAGCTGGTAGCAGAGTACTATGATACCCTAATTTAGAAGTCCCAGCTCACCTTACATGCTGCCCAGTGTGTAGGTGACCAGGTGGCTTTCTTAGTAGAGATCAGCCAAAGTTCTGTTGTGCTTCTGGATAGGAGTTCGTTAAAAACACGCATCCGGTTTTCTTGACTTGAAAGGAATTACTAGATCCCATTCCTATATTTAAACAAGAGGAGTTGCTGGCATAAGAAGTATGTCCCTAGTTATGGTGCTGTCTGACTTGTTCAGTACACTAATGCAGCACCTCATTGTTCGGGTGGTTCTGTGAATACAAATGTGTCTGTGGCTTTGTGATACAGGATAGTAATAAAGCCTAGACCAATGCACAGAGAATACTCTGCTGATGATGAAATAGTACTGAGTCTTGTGCACAGCAGCTGACATTGTTGATAGACAACAATAGAGTATTTATTAGCTGTAATTTACAAACTCAAATCTCCAAAAATATTCTCTGTGCAAACTTAGTGAGCTCTTCATTTTGGGAAAAATTCTGTTGGGCTAGTCTTTCATTTTGAACTTAATCTGGTTGAAGTGTCGGTTTGATCTGACTGTGAGGTCCAGTGAGTGATGCTGGACTGCATCCAAGTCTGTCCTCTAGGCTGTGCTCTTTTGTAGTCAGTTCACACTGGGAAAACTTTCGGGACTACGTAGTTTGCTGTTTTTTAACTTGAAAGGGTAAGCACCTCTGGACCCTGCATATTTTTTTTTTTTTTAACTCTCCTCCCATAAGCAAATTCAGGTGATACTAGAGATGACTGGCAGGGTAACACCTGACTAGTCAGGACCAGGTCTCCAGTGGTGTATGATGAGTGACCAGCTGTAGGTATTATGCCTTCCAACTTTCCCCTTGTTCTATGCAATAGCAAACCTGAGGTGTGTGGCCATATGATGAACACATCCCAGGGCCGAAATTCTTGTTGCAGAATAAAGTAATTATGCAGCTGGACAGGAGACTTAAGTGTAAGAGGAAGATGATCCAACTGGCAGGTGCAGCAAATGGGATCAGTAAAGAGCTAGTGATGTTACAGTGCAGAGGTGTGAGAAGCTATACCAAAAACCAAACTGTAGGATTTGAAGGTGCGGAGGAGCAAGGCTTAACTGAGGAACTTGGGTAAGGAGTTGCAGGAAGCAACAGGGACACTGGACTTTGGTGGGAATGGGGTCCTTCTAGGATCAGGGTGCATGAATGCACACTGTGTCAGTACGGGAGCAGGGGGAATGTGGAGAGACAGGAAAACTTACTGTTACCATCTCCTTCAGACTGAGAGTAGGTGGTGTGAAATGTTAGGTGTTACAGCAGAGTAGAGTTTTGTGAATATCCAAGATGCCAGGATGGAAGAACTCAACATGTGGAGGCTGTGCTTCTGAAGATAGCTACATTAGCTACATTGGGAGAAGTGTCTTATCATGAAGATGTAATGCTGGGTATATTTGAACTTACAGAAAGTTATGAAGACTTTAATGTAGGTTTATACATAAGAATGCTGGTGCAGGACCCTCTGCTAGTCCTGACCAGTTTGACTGTGTGTGCTCTTGGCTCCTCACCTGCATGGCATTCTTTAATTGGGGGCCGGGGGGGAAATAGCTTACTAGAATCAAGTCTCAATTTACTGTGTCTGTTTGCAGAAGCTGGCATTAGTTAACTCCTGCACTACAAAACCAACCACTGTGTACATGTGGCAGTAACTGTACAGCTTTCAGGTAGCTGTTGCTGACAGAACTCTAATGCTGTGGTCTGTTAAACTGGGGAGAGTAAAGCAGCCATCTTTTATATGCATTAATCTGAAATGAAGTTTATATTAACAGTCTGTATTAACAGTTTATACTGTGTGGTCTGTGTGTAGCATTGCTTTGGCTATTGGTGTTACATACAGGTTCACTTGCCAAAATAAGTAAAATAACTATCCTTTGAGGTTGCTTTAGAAAATGTGCTGGAGTAAACCACACAACATCATTTTGATGCTAGCCATTGATTGGAAAAGGCATCAAACTGGAGGAGCGTATAAAGGTTTGTATCCTCTTTCAAATTCTGCAAAGGAAAATCAGTCCCAGAAGAAAATGGATGTCTTCCTACCAAGCCTGAAATGAGAAAATGGCTTATTAAAAACTGTAATGATCACACTCAGGATGTAACAGTAAACAGAGCTGCCTGAGTTGAGGGTCATAGGCTAGATGACTTTATAGCTTCTGTTTCCACAATTTGGTGAGTTAGGGTGATTGGATTGAAGTGTAACAAGTCACTGATGAAAGCGTCACTGATGAAAGCAGTTCATGCTGAAGCACTTGCATGATGGTGCAGATACCCCAGCTAAGTGCTTAAAGAGCTATCAAAATGGTTAGTGTACTAAGGCTGAGAGCAAGCTAGCTTTGGAATTAGTCTAAATTGTTTTGAAAAGGAGGGGGGGAATCATTAATGTGTTCAATTGTTTTATAGGCGGAATTTGAGACAGAACTGGTAGGTGCTGGTGTCAAGCTTATAGTGGTTGACTTTTCTGCCACGTGGTGTGGACCGTGCACAATGATCAAGCCCTATTTCCATGTAAGTAGCCTTTCTGGTTTTATTTGCAACTGTATTAAAGTATATACAAACGTTTTTGTGCTGCTTGACAATAACATGGAAGAAACTTCCTTTTGCCACATGTGATTGCCAGCATTTTCTGGAAAAGGGAGAAGTCACAGAAGTATCCACTTGGGCACTATGGAGTTAAATATACTGACCTTTGATACAGCTGGGGGCTCAAATGTGCTTTAACTTCTCCTGTCCTAGTGCTTACATGCATCTAGGTCTCTAGGGTCTTAACTGTTGCATCAGTTAAGATTCCACTCAATATCCTATCCAGAGGTAGGATATTGAGTGGAAACGATGTTTATTGTTCTGTACACAGTTACTGTAAAGTCTCCAGCTTTGTTTAGGTGGCAATGGCTCCTGGTAAACTGGGAGAGAGACTGTAGCATCTTTTGGTAATCAGCTGAATGCTATAAGAGAAGGCCTTCCAGCTTTGCTTTCAGCTTTGTCTTGGGAGATTTGAATCTTATCTGTGGGGAGCATGTTTGAACAAGTTTCAACAGACTTTTTCAGGCATTGGAGCAGAAAAATTTTTGCTCTGGTCAGTAAAATAGCTGCTTTAAGGTAACAAGGCAAGTTTCACTGGGGGGGTGAGCAGCACCAGCCTTACAATTTATTTGTAAATTGCATATGTGTTTTTTTATATATTTATGTTTATGTATTATATTTTTTCTGTTACAAAATAAAGCTTTCCTGGAGTGCTAACTGCATAGTTTGTTATTTCATTCTAGAGTCTGTCTGAGAAGTATAGTGATGTGGCGGTGTTCATCGAAGTTGATGTGGATGATGTGCCGGTATGGTCTGGGGAGATGCTGAGAGAGGGCAGCTAATGAGCTCCACACAAGTACCAATGAAGAACGCTTTTTAAATGACCTTGCAGACACTGAAAAAAAAAAAAAAAAGACAACTGTGAGAAGCAGAGATAGGGGTTTAGCGCTTATACTGGAAAGAATTACTGTTTTTTAGAGGACTCCTAAACAGGTTATCTGCACACTTGAAGCTCTATGCCATGTGTCAGATAACTGGGGGACACTGACCTTCTACTTTGGGAGGGAGTGTTAGTCTAAGGCCTTAAGGTGTTTTGATGCAATCTTACCTAAAACTAGTGGCTCACAACTGTCTGGTGATCTGTCTGGTCTCTCTACTGCTCTTGGCACTGTTTCTTTCATGTCTTGAATTAAGTGCAATAAAATGTCTGCTGTATAGCAGTTCCAGCAATGTCACCCAGGTACTTGAGCAATGACAGATTAAAACACAAAAGTTGATGTAAGATTCTTGAGCCCTACAAGTAGGCATCTCTGTTTTCATGCAGAAGTCTGGTGTTTTGGAAACACAGAGTACAAGTATAGTAAATGTGTTTTTTTCTATTGCATGAATTAAATGCTGGAGGGAGGACCATTCAGGCTTACTTCAGGGAGGTGCTAACACTGCATTGTTTTTGCTAGTGATGAACTACCAGAAATGCTTTTGCTTCACTTTGAGCAGTAATGGCTTTGCCTTATTGCCTAAACAAAACACAGCTAATGGGTTCTAAATTTAACATCCTTTAGACATGCACAGCTGAAGATTGTTTTCTGTCTCTTCCAGGATGTTGCTGCGCACTGCGATGTGAAGTGCATGCCAACGTTCCAGTTCTACAAGAATGGAAAGAAGGTAAGTTCTGATCTTTTAGAACTGGAGCAGGCAAGCTAAACACTTGAAGATTGGGAATGTCAGACTACATAGACTGCTTTCTCTTGATAATGTACCTGTGGCACCACTGGCATTAAGACATTCCTGAGAGCGAGCAAGTTCATCTTAGTGCAGCAGCAAATGTAACATGGACCAGCAGTTAACTGAGGCAAACAATTGTTGACAGTGGACTGAGTTAGTATTACAGGTCAGTCTTACAGGCAGAGCTTCATGAGAGATAAGTTGGGTTAGAGGTCTGAGTTAAGACTGTAGTCTGCCTAGCACCCTGGTTTTTACTGATCTTGGCTAGCTTTTGTTCTCTGGATGCAGCTCGTGTTCAGGGATGTGACTCTGTGCCTATGGAATTCCCACCAAACAGTAATCTCTAAAGTGGTTGAATGTACACACAGATAAAAATAACTGTTTGTGTGCTTTTATGGAGAGACTGTGTAACCTGTGCAGTGGAGGTCCTGCCCCTGTGAGAGGACTGAACAGACCTCTTGTGCCTGTTCTGCCAGATGGGCTATAGACCATGCTCTGACAGCATAGTGGGCTGCCTATGCAGGGTAGCTGTGAATGGCTGTCTGCCTGAACTAAAGAATTACTGTGCTAAATGTATTATCTTGGGATTTTTATTTGCCAAGCAAGCTGAAGGTAGGCTTTTCTAAAGCAAAACAATGCCTGGATGGAAGTTTCATGGCTGAAGGCAATGGAGTTGTGCCTTGAAAAGTGTCAGATATTGGGTGACCTTCAGTTCCATTCAGTGCAGGGCCAGATAATGACTAATAAGGAACCCTTAGTAGTTTTCTCAGGGCAGACTGCCACAGCTTCATAATGTAATTGCAAGAATTGTGATTATGATGTGACAGTGTGTGAAGGTGATATGCTTAACACTTGTGTGGCTTTTTATTTTGGGTGACCTTGGCAGTTCTTTGGACACATGAGTATCAAGCAAGCAATTTCATGGCCTGTACTGTAGTCTACTCTGTACCTTGCAGCTGCATAGGTACTGGGAGTCAGAGCTGCTATTTCTGAGGCATGGATGTTGCCTTTGGCCTTTTGCTGTGTAAGTTGCGACAAGGACAATTCTCATAGAAGCCAGGCTCAGGGCTATGTCATTTGGAGCAATACCTCCAGAATTAGTTTGGTAAGGGTCCTCAGCAATGCAAGGTAACTGAGGTACCTCTGCTCTGTGGTGACCTCCAGAGTCTCTTCAAGCCTGTATTTGAGTCTTACACAGCATTGGTTCAGGATTAATTGTCTTTTCCCTGTTTTATTTGTAGAAGGCTCCAGCAATGGTAGTCAAGAAGTGATTCTTGATAGACTGTTGTCCTGGTTTTGGCATGAGTTGCATGGGAGATGAATAGATGTACAGCTGCAAAATATTCCGTTTTGGTAGTGAAAAAATTGTAGTCACAGCAGAGTTGAATAGATGTGTATGTCTGGATGCCATGCAACTAATGTTATGAAGCACTGGATGCAGCAGTTCTAAAAATCAATCTCTTTACAGGTCCATGAGTTCTCTGGAGCCAACAAGGAGAAGCTGGAAGAGACCATTCAAAGACTAGCTTAATCTCCACCCATGGACACACTGAAACATGATTGGCAAAGTTATACCCTGTAACTTTTCTTAAAAAAAATGAGAACAGAGTGGTGGAAACTATCCTCTTGGTCTATGTAAGGGAGTACATTAAAGCGCATATTCTTCACTTTTGGCTGTTGCCCCATGATTGAATGAAAATGTGAGTGAGGAATTTCATAATGTCATCAAGGTGTCAGTTTTTGCTGTGGTAAAGAAATACTGTCTGAATACAAAGACTCTTGTCACATACAACCTGATATATTACAGGGTTATTGCTGGGGGTGGAGGATTGTGTTGCATGGGATGGCAATGACAGTTGTGTTAGGTGAAGTTGCTGTCACTTTACTCAGGTGGTAGTCACCAGGCTATAATCTGAAAAGTGGCAGTCTGGCTTGCAGATGCTGAAGGGGGAGTTTAGAAGTTGTAGAAAAGAGGGTGATCACTGGGTGGGATATAGTCTTTCTTTTGTTACTACTTTTTTTAGCTAAAGATTCTTTTAAAATTTGTCAAGCTTCATTTTAGACTTCAAAGCTAAGACTTGGCTTATTAGAACATAATACCAATCCTACCATGGAGGTGTAAGGTAGGACTTGGAGTAGCTGACTTTTTGCCTTTTCAGTTTTGCCTTGCCATTGGTGTACCTTCTGGTTTTGTTAGTAGCTTTAATCTCTTGTGTTGGGCTGCTTTGTTCCTAGGCAATAGTCTGGAACAAATGACTGAAGAGGTACAACTCTTAGTGTCTGAAGACCAAGATAATTTAGATTTATATATTCTCATCACTTTTGTTTGCATATACTGGACATTTCTTTGTGCTGGACAGTAAACTGGGCTTTTCAGTCCTCCAAACCTGCGTTGGGTTGTCTAGCTTAATGCTGACCTGCCAGCCCCTCTGTACTGTTCAACTGTTCTTCCCAGTGTTACCATGGATAACTACTGTGTGTTTTCCACCATGTCAAAACAGCTTTCTTGCTGGCTTGGGTTTTGTTGTGGATAAAAATTCAGTAAATAAGCAGGGCTGTAGCTAGCAGCTATGCCTAATGCTGTGGTTAGGGCTAGGTGAGCTGTGCTGCTCATTGAGTATCACTGATGAAAAAGCAATACTTCCTGCTACATATGCAAACAGTGTGGAATGAGTGAGCCTCTTGTCTTTGTGGTAGGGAGCTCATGTGTGACTCAGCCTTAAACTCATTTCACAAGCATGCATGAATTTCCTGGCTCTTGAGGACTGGGGGCCTCAGCAGCTTGCTGCGTATGTTCCCTATTTGAAACAAGATTTTTCTAGTCTAAGCAGTGACCACACCCTTTGAGGATGAGCCATCAAGGATCTTCTTGGATGTAAGGTTTGGGCTGTGATTATGCAATGAGAAGGACATGCAAAATGTTTGTGCAGCTCTGGCTGTTTGAGTAAGAGGAGTGCAGCTGTGTGTTTAAAAGACTGTTCACACATGTTAAGTGGGAAACCACTACCCCAAGTGGTGCCATGGTCAGACATGTGGGGAGAGAATAAAATGAATCTGGGTGGAGCAAGAATGCACTATTAACATCACACCATCTGCAAAGAAGCACTGCTTTTAAATGCAGTTCCTTGGGTAGCCTACTTACTTCCTTCTAGGCAGTAGCTGGGAGCAATAAAGGGTTAAAATCCCTGGTGAAAGGTCCAGGTGAAGTTCAGCAGGAGCCCCTAACATCCAGCTTCATCCTTAAGAAATAAGAAAGCTACTACGATGTGCTGTGACATACAGTATTTCTGCGGAGGTAAGGCCAGAACAGGTTGTTACCTATTACAGCAGGGGGAAGGTGCAGCTAATGGGAAATGTTGCTTGTGGTGAGTTTGACAGCACTTTGTTTACTCCCCTAATGAGATACCACTGCAGTAGTCTTGAAAGATTCAGGTGACAAAGTGCCTGGAAATCCAAGATAAGATTGGGAAAGATCAGAAAGGCTGGAATAAATCTTGGTCTGAAATCAGGAATGCAAAGCAGTTCTAAGAAGTGCAGTGTGCCTTTGGCTTCCTGTGCTGCAGTATCTTCCTGTTCTCAGAACTCCTATGTAGGCATAGCAAGATGAAAATAACTTGCATAGCCTTATTTGAAAGGAGGTGTTCTTTAAGGCTTGGTTCTTTGAGGAATACGCAGTGAGGATCTGTGCATTAGCTAAACTATCCCTTTAAAGGAACCAGCAAGCATGTTCTCTGCAAATGCATAGTTACGCCAGAATTTGAGGGTTTGAAGTTGGTCCTTTTAATTACAGGTAATGGAAAGCAAAGCCTAATGGTTATGCCTAGCAGAGATGTAAGGAGTCTCAGTTCCTACAGCAACAGTGCTGCTGCTGGGAGGAGAGAACCCCAGTTCAGGACAGGAACTAGACTGAGTCTTCCAATAGGGTGTGAACACAGGGTTTGGGCCTTTAACAAAGCCTAGATACAGCAAATAAATGTTTTTCCCTAAATGGAATTGGTACAAGTAGCCTTGTTAAAAATTTGGGCCATTTGCCCTGCCACATGGGTATTAAGTAATAACCTGGAGAGCTCAGTGGGTGCATTTTTCCACTTGTTAGTTTTTCATGTGAAAGTGAGACCCGTATTGCCATATGCCAGGCAGAAGTATAGCAAAGTCACGTTTTTCATTGAATTCTGCAATCTGTTTGGATGAACAGAACTGACTGCTTTGATCCAGGGCTCTGAAGAGATGCCTTTAAAGAGGGAAGCGGAAGATAACCAACTGACTTGAATGTGTGGAAGAAATTTGATGTACATGGCAGAGAAGAAACAACATATAAAGGTTTTTTCTGGGTGTAAGGGCTTCAGGAAGAAGTTCTCCCCACAGGTAATGACTGCAGTCTGTTTCATTTGGCTGTGGAGTGGCTGAGATCTGTGCCTTGCTGTCAAACCAGTAGAGCAGGATGCTTTTGTCTGCAGGCCTGTTACATAGCTTGCTTTCCTGTAGTGGGCTGGTCAGCAGATAAGTACTTCCTTGAGCACAGCAATTGGAACACGTGGCTGGAATAACTAGTTGTAATGAGAGAGGACTAACTATCATGAAATGGAGAGCTAAGGGGTCACAGTGAGTGGGCAAGGGAACTGTGTGATTAGATTGCAGTGAAATAGTGACACTCCCTAACTCCATCCATGTGGTCTGAAACTGCTGTCATACGTTGGGGGAAGGATTCTCTTAACCACCCACATATCTCTTCCACATCTTTTTTTGCAGCAGTCAACCTAACTCCAATGCTGGTTAACCATCTGCTTTTCATTCTTTCCTTGACCTAAATGAAGTCAGACTTGGATTCCCTCCTTGAATGAGTCCAGTAAGAGTATTTGTAATTATTACAATGTTTAAATTCTTACTCTTCATTCATCAAAACTAGCTGGAACTAGCAAGGGCAGAAACTGACTTCTATTGTTTTACCAATGACAACAAACTGTGGCATAACAGCTCCTCTGTGCTGTGCTATATGACATGCAGCTGTCAGCCACCCAAGGAATTGGCTTGAGGAATATGCTGGTGAAATCCTTGCTGGACTAACTATGTACTGCAGGTCCCTGACCTGTGGTGAGGAGTGGGAGAGACTGACTGGTGGCTTGACCTTGGCTAGGTGACAGGGGCCCACCAAGTCCCTCTTACCACTGTCCCACCTCAGCAGGACAGGGGGAAAAAAAATGACAGGAAAAGCTTGTGGCTTACAGGGAGATCACTCGGCAATTACAGTCACAGGCAAAACAGACTCACACTTGGGGAATTCATTGCAATTAAACAAAGTATAAGAAATAGGAGCAAATCTATAAACTTTCCCCTACCTCTCCCTTCTTTCCAGGCTCCATTTCACTCTTGGCTCTTCTATCTCCCCACCCCTGAGCAGGGAAGAGAGGGGTTGAAGTCAGTTTGTAGTATCTCTGCTGCTCCTTCTTCCTTGTGCTCTTCCCCTGCTCCAACATGGGGTCCATGGGATGCAGTCCTTTGGGAATGGACTCTTCCAGTGTGGGTCCCCCATGGGCCACATGTCCTGACAGAACATCTGCTCCAGCATGGGCTCTTTTCCACAGGCTGTAAGTCCTGCCAAGAGCCAGTTCCTCTGTGGCCTGTAGCTTCCTTTGGGTGCATCCACCTGCTCTGGTGTGGGGTCCTTCATGTGCTGCAGGTAGAGATCTGCTTCACTGTGGACCTCCCTGGGCAGCAGAGGCACAGCTTGCCTCACCATGGTCTTCATGGGCTGCGGGGGAATCTCTGCTCCATTGCCTGGAGCACCTCCTCTCCTTTTTCCTTTACTGACTTTGGTGTCTGCAGCGTGGTTTTTCTTGCATACTCTTGTTCTTTTTCTCCCTGCTGCTGTTGTGTAACTTTTTACCCTTTCTCAAATGAATTATCACAGTGGGCTCAGCTTTGGGCAGGGGCAAGTCCCTCTTGGAGCTGGCTGTCACTGGCTCTGATGTGGTGGCAGTTTCTTCTGCCTTATCACAGAAGCCACCCCTGCAGCAACACACGCGCCCCCCCCCAACCTTCCCATGTAAACCTCATACATTTACATGCTGACAACAGGCAGTGCAGTCTTGAGATGGCAACAGGCTTAGCAGGAGGTTGGCCATGGCATGGAGTCTCGTACTGCATCTGAAGCAATAACTGTGTACCAACTCTACCCCAGCTGCTGAGACATTTAGCTGTAGGTTTTCCTCAGTCAGAAGACAAAATAAAACTATGTCAGGAAGAAGAGTCTGATAAGGAGCTCTGGGGAGGCGGTGGGTGCTGTACTCAGTTTAGCTGAATGGAGGTTGGAACTGCACTGTGGCAGCCTTATTTTTAATGGCGGTTTCACACAGGTGAGAAGCATACCTGTCTGGAGATGCCTTCAGATCTGGTAAGGATCAACTAGATGAGTTTGATGAACTTGAAAAAGTCTTGTGGATATGTCAAGGAAGCACATCCACATGAAACGCAGTTTTTCTTCCTCTGGAGAGGAAAAGCTGAGATAGTCCAGGTTGGTAGATAGAGCAGGTGAAAAGCGCATGGGAGCTGTGTGAAGCCTCATCTCTAGCTGCAGCTAGTGAAGACAAATTTGTGACAGATGCAAATATCCCCAAGGTGGCAGTGGCTGTCTATGGTTATACATACATTTATACACCCACACTGGCTCTGAGAATGCCTTGTGCTTTTCCCTTTCCAACAGCACGGGGGTGATGGTAGTAGTATCTCTAGGTAAAGGGCTAGAGGAAAATGCATGGGGATGGGTTCCGACTATCCAGGCAGCACCCTCTGCCTGGCCCCCAGGAACTGGGTCGTCTGGGGTGGATGTGGCTGAGGTGTGAACAGACTCTAGGGAGGTGGAGAAGCTAGGCATTGGGTCCAGCTGCATCCACAGCTGCATTCTTAGACCAGGATTGGGTCATCCCCCCTCCACCTGATTCAGTCCATGACATTTTCTCAGGGAAGCAATCAAGTCTGGTTTTTCACTTTCTTTGTGTCTGTTCCTAGTTCCTCTGAGAGAGGAGCCTGGGGAAAGACCATGGGCTGGCACTATGAACAGTCCTCAGAACTGTTAAACCTGCTGGTAAGGGAAATGCAGTGATGAGTTTTAGCACCACTTAGCAGGCTGGTCCCAAAGGCTTTCAGCTTACTAGGAAGCAGAGCCCATGTTCAGCTACTGATGAGGGGCTGAGGATAGGGGCAGGAGGTGTCTCCCCACACTGTAGGTAATGGCTAGCAGCAGGCTAAGCTGTGAGGCACCCGTTTGGAACTGATGCTGCCTAGCTAAGTGTGGGTGTGAGATGAACAGCTACAGTCAGGGGTCATGGGAGCCATGTAAGAGCAAAGGATCTGAGGTATATCTTGCTTGCTTCAAGACAGGCTGTATCAGAGATGCTGCAGGGTTTAAGGTTGGATTTGATTCAGCTGGGGAACAGGGCTCACATCAGAATGGATGCTGTGGCTGGGCTGTGTTGTTCTGACCCGTTCTGGGGGCACCCACCCTGGAGGACCATGAGAGGAGCTCAGCAGGCTGCAATGCATTCCAGGAATAGCTCCTCAGTTTCAGCAACCCACAGCTCTTTGCCACAATTCCCAGGGCTTCCTGAGGCCACTCTTGGTGTGGCAGGCCATGGTGAACTCCTCAAGGCTGGTCCCCACTGTGTCCTGAGCTCAGGGAGTTTACTGCCAGCAGACCACATTTTCTTAGGAATAGGGAAAAAAAGTTGCAATGTTTATTAAAATATGGAGCACCTCTAATCTGGAGACTGTTTCATTTTGCACCGGCAAGCATATGGCATTAAGCGGTTAAACCACTACTCTAGTCATAATGATATGTATAGATGAAGAGCTATTTAGCCAACAGATGAAGAAGCCTGCAGCTGTTTACATTTATTATTAAATAAACTCTTCGTCTTGCTCTCATATATCCTCAGTGAATTGGGGTCCTAAACAGCCTCAGAAATCCCACTGTCAAGCCTACTTGCTAAGTGTCACTTAGGTTGCAGCACAGATGTGGCCATGTGGACTGGGGAAAAGTGGCACAAGACCAGAGATGTCTGTCAGCACAGTCCCAGCTGCAGGGTCCTTGAGGAATGGGCACTGCACCCTAGGCTGAGCTGACACCTTTTTCAGTTTTGCAGATGCATGCGAAGAATGACTGCTGCAGTGCCAAGGAGGGCCTAGCCAGAGCAATCCCTTGCACACCTGGCAGCCAGTGGGACCAACAAGAGCTCACACTTTCCCAGGAAGCCTTTAAGCTCAGCTGCAGAGTCACAATGTTAGAGGAAGGGTGGTGGCAACCAGTGTTTGCCACTCACAGGCCTTGTGCAGCTGGCTGGAGGATAGGCTGGACTGTCACGGTACTACCCACGCTCTGCCTAAAAGCACAGGTAGTCATGTATTGTCTGAAAAAGCCTATCCCAGCAACACACCACTGCACCCTTGCTCTCCACTGGGCCTTGGCACCTTGCTCAACTTCATCATACTGATTGTACTTGTAGGGTTAGTTTGCTTCACTAGAGGGGAGAAATACAGAATTTCTGTGACTTTCAGTTTACCTTGTGCTAATTCCACTTGCTCTCATGACTTCCAAGGAAAAAAAAAATTGTGTGTTGTAATGCTCTGTTTTATTTTCATCAATAAATTATGGAAAAATTCAGGTATCTCTCCATAAGCACTGGAACTTCAAGGACAACCAAGCTTGCAGTGAGAAACGACCACAAGACCTCCAGACAATCAGAGATTATTCTCATTCACGTGCTGGCAATGTTCCTGCTGCATAACAGAAAACTTGCATTTTCAAGAGGAAATAGCTATATTCCCCAGTGAAGTTCAGAGGTTTTGGGGGGGGGGGTTTTGTTTTTAGAGAAAAAAAAAAATGTTTTGGGGGTTAAACAGCCTTGCAATATCAGCTTCAATTCATGAAGCATGAAATCTATACACAGACAGTGAGGGAAAAGTACAGGTCAGTATTTGATGAGAAAGAAAGGTGAGCCAGGATTATTTTGACTGACATATCTTGCTGCAACTCTGACCAAGGGATAGGAACTCCATGTGGCTATTTTTAGTTCATTCCCAAATTGCAACTTTAATTGAAACAAGAGATTATGAATCCACTGGACTTAAGACAATTCAGTATTTTAGGACGTGCAAGCTCTCTAGAAAGTTCTTAATAAAAAGCCACCAAACAACAGCAGACCTCTACACAGTGGATCTGAAGCCAACTGACAACAAACTCCATTTTCTGATTTACTGTTTTCCATGCTGTGCAGTGATATTAATTCACAGGTCTTTCTCAGAGGCCAGCTGAAAACCACAGCACTGGAGATAACCCAAGCTGGTAATTTCTCCTCAGAAAACTCTTTAAAGCAACCAGAACCTCTCCCCTGCTTATGCCAACATGCATTATTTCCCCAGTGTCCAGTCAACCTGTATTTCAGGACGTGTTTTGTTCAGTCCACTCAAGTATTGATCAATCTGCATCTTAAGTAAGCTACCTCTTCTTGTTGACAGACAGAGCTTCTAATCCTGGCACTGCAAAAACATTAAGGCCACTTAGGATCCCTCCTCACAGATCAATAATGAGACCTAAAAATGAATCAAGAAGTCCTCCACAGTGGTTGAAGATGGATCACCATCACCTTCAATACCTGTCTGTATCCCATAGTAACAGGTTCTTGTTCTGGCTTTTTCAATACATTTCAGGTATTTATTGTTGCTAATCTGTTTGTCTCCTTCACTCAGCAAGTGGCCTGTGGGTCCTGGACACCAATTTAATCTTCTAGGAGAGCCAGGATAAACACCTTGGCAAGATCAACTCCAAGCTTGGACACCAATGGTGAAATTACTCAAGAAGTACATGGACTATCCATATCACCTGTACGGTGAGATCTGCTGGGATAAATAAGTGCTTGTAGTATTTTAGCCACTCTGTGTTAACTGCAAGGAAGTAAAGAGGAGGTCATTCCACAAACAGGACTATAACACAAGCAAAGTATCCATTAACAGATTTCTTTTTTCTTTCCATAATCGCAGAATAACTGAGAAATCTACATTTCCTCATGAAAGTTTTTAAAAAACAAAAAAAAAAAGCCAGCCAGTGAGGAAGGTGGGAACCCCTGGGTGTTGTAAGCCTGTTCTTTACTCCTTGATATTGGTTCAAAAATCCGTCTTGCCAAGTTCTGGGTCAAATCAACGGGTAAACATTACTCATGAGATGTGCCACCAGCTGGCAAAGCTTTTGGAATTGCTTTTCCTTTCTACAAGCCAACTCATAGAAATGTTCAGGCTACCATTAAATCTGGTACAGTTCTGACGAAGTTCAGTGGTTTTAAGGTACTTTTTTGGGTGTAGTTTTGGAAAGCAACTCTCAAGTTCTTCAAGAACAAAGCATATACTTACACTTATTAGCCCGATTATTAACAGAAGTTATCATCACAAATGTCCAGCAAAAAGACTGAAACATACCTTTTGATCAGTGAGTTAAAAGCACTTAACAGAATCATATTGTCCTGTACCAGTCTCACAGAAATATGTCACCTTCAGACTTTTACAATAGCTTTTCCAAGATTTTCTCCCTTTAACATTCCAATAAAAGCCATTGGCATGTTTTCAAATCCTTCAGTGATTTGTTCGTGATACTTCACTTTTCCCTGTCAAAAGTAAGAAAGGAAATTACTGATTCTTCATTCACCAACTTCTTAGTTTTTACCATCTTTGGGAGACTAGACTGCAACCAAATTTTCTCCAGCTTGTACATTTCATCTGAAACATTCAAGCTGGCATGCACCAGGGTAACTCTGCAAAACTAGGTACTCTGTGTGAGGATCTGCTTTTGTTGTAGCACCTTCTACTTGGAGTCATAACAGGGAGCAAAAGACGCTGCCATAAAAACACACCAGGACAGATTTAGTGCTACTTGGTCCTCAAAAAATTAATAGGTAGGGAATTATTTCCCTAAAGCCAGGCCTGTCTCTACCCATAGGGAAGTATGGAATTGCAAATCCAAGTGATCAAATGCTGAGCCATCCCAAACTCCATGGTTGTAAAAGCTAGAGGCACTTAGCCTTTAGTGTTCACACGCACGAGCTTTTCACAGACTCCAACCAAGCATTAAACTCAGGCTTCATTTAGAAATAAAATTTAAGAAATTCCCTATTAAGTCCCTTTAAAACACAGCTCCCAATTCCATAAAAGCATCCATTCTTGCCAGTAATTTCAGCACAACAATACAACGGAAATCCTTGCTTATACTACAAATGAAAGGAGACTTCTGAATGAAAAGTAGAGGAATTACTCTAAATATGAAACTCTTAATTGCCAGAGAAGTTTTTTCAATTACTCTGGGAAGCATCCTTTTTCAAAGCCTACATGTATTCTGCAATATATCTAAGTCCTCAAGCTCGTATTACAGGTCTCAACAAAGCAGAAGGGATCAGGCATGTTCACTACGGTTTGAGTGTCCCCAAAAGGCTCAGAGATCAAGACAGGTGGAAGAAGAGTACCACACTGGGACCTCAGCTCAACAACTATGACAAGAGGCTCCTTGCAAAGAAGGAAGCTATTGTGTGAGTACATCTTGCAGAAAACTACCCCTTCCTTCCTTACCTCCACGACCCATTTTAGTAGTGCCTTCAGACCTTCTTCCCAGCGGTCATTCCAGCGGGTCACAATAAACCCTTCCATTCGCAGCTCTTTGAAGATCATTGGAAACTGCACATAAGGCCCTGCAAGACAAAAGAACCAGCAAACCACTTGAAATATTAATTTAATTTAAAATAAGACCCAACGCACAAAGAGCACTTTTAGACAGTAAAGACCACTGAATTACTTTGTTCCAGCCAGAAGCAACTGCTATTTTTTCCAAACAGAATTTCCAGGACAGAAGACCAAGGATTCATGGACAGACAGCCACACAGGGAAACAAAGGCCTGATCTGTAAAGCTGTGGGGCTAGCCAGCCAACACTTCCAAAAAGAGTTTCATTCAGAAGTAAAGTGACTTCAGCTTCACCTGAGGGGCTGCAGCTGAATCCTGAAAATACTGTTTTGACAGCTTGTTTGGTAGCCTGCCAAGCTCTCATGCTCTTCCTAAATCTCAGAAAAGTTACATACATTAAAAAACAGTTCCCTCAATCATAAAAATGAGTGATAGTCTCCCCACTCTCAAAAGCCTGTGCCATTTTAAAAGCAATCTGAGAGTCCACAGCCAGTCAGTTGTCAAAGAGAATTCAGACCTCCTATTTTGTTGAGAAGGCAAATTTGGAAAACTTAATGCTATTGAAAGTGAATATTCATCTCAGTCTCATTTCCCAGCAGTTTCACCAGTTGCTGAAATCTTATGGAAAAAAAAAAAACACAAAACAATAAACTAATCTGCCTCTAAAAACCCGAGGGAAATCCCTTCTCTCATCTAAAAGTATGTGCTGTATAAATAGCATCACACCACCACACCTGTCTTCTACTGATGTGTATCTGCCTAGAGGCCTGGGGAGTCCTGCTATAAGTAACTCAGTCTCTCCCTCTCCATCCAATACGAGTGTGCACAAAGGGTGAGTGCCTGTACACACAAGGAGCATGGTCACACCCCCATTGTCCCAGAGCAGCGATTAGTTACCCAAGTGTACATACATAAATACACTCAAATGGCATACAGAAACAACCAATAAAATCCCAAGAGACTCCCATTACATCTTTCTGTCTGCCATCACCAAATGGGAAATTTATTTAGACGCAAGAAACCAGGCCCTCACCCTTCTGAGGCACAGTGTCATTGTACTGAGAGATAGCTCCACAGGCTGCAATCCTTCCATATTTCTTCATCTGGTTGATAGCAATACTGGCAAATTCTCCACCCACCTACAAGAACCAGAGCGTGCACAGCATTAGAGACAATCCAGTGTTTGGCATTGACCACCAAAACCTGCCAACCTTGCATTGTGGCACCAACAAGTTCAATCAAGGGGTTGAGAGCTGAGTTCCACTACTCCAAAGACTCAGTAGCTGCAGAAGCCCTTTCACTTAGTCAACACCCATAACGACACAATCTCACTTTTCTAAAAATTAGTTATGAACACAGGGAATTCATTTTAAGTCCAAATCTGCTTCACAAAGCTCAGTTTGAAAGCGTGGGGCAGGACTTGCCCTTAGATCCCTCCTCCTATGGGGCATATCTAGGGGTACTAAGAAGCACCACCTCTGCTTTTTCCTCACACCAGTCTGCACATTTATCTCTTCACATCATGGTGATGCCAAGTTTTTACTTAACGATTCTCTTCTCCCAGATAGAGATGTGCTGTGCTCAGAAGCTTTTAGCAGAGAAAAGCTGTGAGAGGAGAAAGTGAGAGGGAAGGGAAAGGACATGACCATAAAACATATATAAGACCTTAACAGCACAGGACATTCAATCAGGCAAACCAGTGAGGAGCTCCACAGGGGCAAGTGCTTTGCCCTGGCACCATGCATTCACATCGATTACCAGGGCAAGGCAGGTGAGTTGCAATCCACCCAGAAGGCAGCGCTGTCATCCCTGGATCAGCAGACTGGTTGCTGGAAGAAAGACATGCTAAAGAGGTGATGATGGCTGCTCTTTCAACCAAGTAGCTAGCCAGGGAGTTTTAGGCCAGTATCTCAGCTAATACCCCTGTGCCAGGTATTGTATTATCAGGTATAATGCATACATTAGCTATACTAGGAAATTTAAAACACCAGCGCTTAAGGCGAACTGACATGGCTTGACTACATCCACACTGTTAAACTCTCCCAGCCTCTATAACAAGATGGTCACACTCAAACAGCCTACTGAGAACAGTCCACATCCCCTATTAACTCCAGCTGTACTTGGGAGAGGTCAGAAACTCCCTCCATAGGCCATTCCAGCAATTTTACAAGTGGGCCTTGCAACTGTTTTGTTTACAGGTACCAATGTAGCCACCTGGAACATGTACCATGGGGGTGTCGATGCTCACTCCCCTTCTAGCAACAGCAGAGAACCTGCCTGTGGTTCAAGGTGGGACCAGGAATGGACTGGAGCTCTCTCTGTTCAGCATCAGTTAAATATTCACTGTGACCCTCACCTCCTCAAAACATGCCATACTTTTCAGAGAGTGAAGATAAGTTTCTCTCTCTCCATTCACAAACACCAACAACAATCCAGCTTTGCCTTTCAGCCCCTGTTTTTTCTGTTACTGCTTAAGTCAGCTGCAGAGATAAGTGTGGTAAGGGAACAAGAAAGCAGTAAGCTCTTACAGAGACCATTTCTCAATTAGATGAAACTCAATATCCAGATCCTGGTATAGTCTCCAATTAGATGTATACAATATTGAGTTCCTGCTATAGTTTAAGTAAAATGACAGTCTGCTCAGGGCAAGGCCATCTCTCAGAACTCACATTGTCAAAGAAACAGTCGTAGCCATCAGGAGAGGCTTTACGCAGTGCTTCATCCAGAGATGTAACAGCTTTGTAATTAAAGGCTTCATCAAAGCCTATTTTCTTCAGATAGGCAACCTTGTCATCTGAGCCAGCACAGCCAACCACTTTGCAACCCTGCAAGGAAAGGTGAAAAACATTTCTAAACATCCCCTCATAACACAGGCTGACATTCATAGAGTGCTGGGTTGAGGGATCATGCTTGAGGCCAAGCTGTCATTACCATATCAGTTCCTGAGCTCTAGGAAACATTCAGCTAGCCTTGCTACATCTTCAGGAGCTTGCCCCATCTCAGGACCTTACTGTAGGCATGCCTTTGGGGATATTTGCCCTCCTGATCATTCATGGACTTGTTCCCCCATTTCCCAGGTGAGCCTTCTGAGGAGCAGGTATGAGTAGTTCAAGCCACTCACCCCAATTTTAGCAAGCTGCCCCACCACAGAGCCCACAGCACCAGCTGCAGCATTAACCAACACTGTCTCTCCTGGCTTCATCTTGCAGACCTCCAGCAGACCAAAATACGCAGTGAGGCTGTGAAGCAAAAGAAAGAATGCTCAGTTAGGAATAAAAGACACCAGTCACAGAGATGTGGCTTGACCACATTGAACCAAAATATCTCTACAACCAGACTAAGATTCAATTTTCCTCATTCTTCATGAAATACAAAAATTAATCCAAACTTCTTAATTTGGCTTTTTTACAGCCATCCCAGGGAAAAAAAACAAACCAAACCACCAAACAAACAAAACACCAAAACAAAATAAAACAAAACAAAAAACAACAAAACAACAGATACGCTACTGGGAAACAGGATGCTGTGGCAGAAGTCTACCTTAGGTGAAAACAGCTTTCCTTGGGATCAACTAGCCGAAAGGAGAAACACAGAGATAACTCTGTAAGGTGACAATGCAGTCACACACTGGAAGAAAGAGTAAATCCAAGCTAGTCAGAGGTCAGAAGCCAGCTGGTATCTACCAGACTGAGGCGAAGACTAAACAATACTCATCAAAAATCAAAGCTGGCAGAAAAAGAAAAATGGTGGCAAAATCTTGCTGAACTGATGGGCACACTGCTCCTGAGGACTACTGTGCACAGTTATGGCTGCTGGGTGAATAGTGACCTGTAGGAACCACTGAAGTTTAGCTCAAGCATGTTCCACTGATCATATAAATACTGAATTGCTTCAGGCTCTACAAGCCTCCTGAAGTAACGTGATCAACTGGCCCAGAATCCCAACAAATTTCTCTAACTTCTAAATTCAAACTTAGAGGTTCCCAATTGGTCCAAACTGAAAAGGTGAACTGAATTCATCTAGCAGCTGTCTGGAAAAACACGCATCTTGCCTGATGTCAAAATGAAATCTGGGAAGCTCTACATCACATACAATATTACAATCATTTTTGAAAGCCTTCTGTGTCAACAGGACTGACCAAGTCCTGATCTCCCATACAAACTACAGAGAAAGAAAAAAGAAACGTGAGAAGATGACAGAGATGCAATAGTGAATACAGATTCTGAAGCACAGCAGCTCTGTCTGCTGCAGTGCAATTTAAAGGGCCTCTATTTTGCTGCATATGACAGCTGTCTTTTGCCATTCTGGGGGCAATTCTGGAAATATGGTGATACCAGAAGAGCCCAATCAGCAAAAGTCGACTAATCCAGGTGCCAGTGAAGTTTGAATCTTTCCACTCAGGTTAATTAAGACTGAACTGGATTCTTTCCAGCCCCTCCTGGATCCTCTTCCTACCTTATTACAAATACTCAAGGAGGGGCACCATAATCTCTGAGGCCAATCTCCTCTGATCTAGAGAATGGGCCCAACTTCAGGCCTTCTACATGGTAGAGTATCCAGAAGTACATTTTTTTTTTTTTTTACCAGAGTGAGCAGACAACATGCTGGTGGAACAAGACAAGGGAAAAAAGCCATACAGAAACATCCTGCACAGCAAAATCCAGGGGATAGTTATAGTTGCTCTTGCATCTTGAAGCTCACCCTGGCATGCCAACTGTCCCAAGAGCCAGAGATCTGGGGAGTGACTCCGGCCAAGTGGAAGGAAGGAGTTGTAGGCCTTTCCCATCAGAGATGAAATGAGTTCTCCAGCCGCTCCTAGCTACAACAAAGGTCCCCACTGTGAAAGCAGGGTTCTTGCTTTCTACAATCCTGTTTAAAAGAAGGAAAGAAGAAAAAAAAAAAAACTGTCAGAGGCAAATCAGTACTGGCTCTTCCCTTCTTTGTTCCTGTTGCCCTGTGATGCAGGAGAAAATAAATATTTTACATCAGGACATTTAGCCCATACCTGCTGATGCTGTAGCCTTCTGATGTCTTTCCTGAAATGACTACACTCTCTCATCATCAGGTGGATACTGGACAAGATGATTCTAGACTCATCCCAGCCCACAACAAATCCAGTGTTCCCACATGGATGCCAACTTTTTTTGAATACTACCAGTCTGTTATGAATTCAGACTAGGCTTTTGTGAGTTAGAAGGCAGGAAAGAGGATGCCGGGGTTAAAGGGTAAAAAAGTGAGAAGTCACTAGCAGTGACTCGAAGTAACAAGCATTTCCCTTCTCAGACAATCTGCACCTTATTTAAAGGTTGAAGATCCTGAAGATGGAACATCTTGGGGTAACAAAACCAGAGAGGAAGCAGTATCTAGTAACAGGGAGAAGTTCATACTTGCAGTATCTATGATAAATGAAAATTCAACTTTCTTAGCCCAACAGGAAAAGCATGTTGGCAAGGGGTAGGTAAGCAGCTTTGAATAATGGAAACAGTTGGCCTGCTGTTCAGCAGACTTGGTTGTTAATTTATCCCAGCTCTCAGTGCTCCTGCAGAGAAACACAAGAGTCAAAGGCTACAGATATTCCTGGGCAGCAACTTAGAGGCAGCACAGTAGGAACAGGCTGACAAAGGGAAACAGCTGTGTAGCTAAATTACCACAAGCTTGGGAAAGGATGGGTTTAAGGTTGGATAACCCTTTAGCTAAAGCTGTATCTCAGGTGATGCTGAGGTATTCTCAGCTGGAGTAGATAGCATGGATGGTTTCAGACATGCAATTACTAGCACATCAGATTTTAAAACATGAAGTTGATACTTACGGCAAGTACAGTGGCTAGTCCTTCATACTTCTGCTTGTAAAAATTTCCTTTGAAAACATTATTGCCAGAAATAACATATAGATCATATCAGAGGCCTAAATGCTCTCCAAGATGGTGAAAGAGGTTCTTAGAGGAAAAACACATTCCAATCAATTACAGATAAAAATACAGCTGCAGAAGTATGTAGACTCAAGTTAAGAATAGGTAATGCAGGCTGCAGGTGTCTCAAATGTCAGTACATTCCTTTGAGATCTGCCATGTTTGAATAACAAGAACTGAAGAACTTACCTGGCAACCTGTGTGCCTATCATTATGTCCCCTTCCTTCATGTCCCTTTGACTGTAAGGTCTGTAACACAGGCAGAGATGGCTTACTGTAAACAACTGTAATGATGTTCCAGATATACTATGAAATAGTAGCTACTGTCTGACCCAGAAAGAGAGCATAAGCAGTGATAGGGAACAGATCACCAAGACCTTGTCATTGTAATGACATAACTGCCTGTTTTCCATTGCCAACTACTTGAGCATACCATCTTGGCCAAATATTGCGCTAGAGCACGGGAGACACAATAACATTAACCTTCCCAGCCTGATCCACCACCACAGGAAGGCTGAGAATCCAAAGAACTATCTCTGACACTATACACCACGCTTCTTCAAACTACTCAGTCTCCCTGTGCTTGAACTATCTCCCATTAACATGGATATATCAACAATTTCCTACTTAGAGTATGCACCCTTAAGTACAAGGTTGCTAAGATAAGTGAAGCAGCTACTGCAACAGAGCTGCAGTCTTATTTGAACCTGTTGTGTTCCATTGGAAGAGACATGACAGAGAACAACAGCAGAGTCCAAGGAAAGTCTAGGGCTGCAGCATCGTTATCCTAATGTCTGGCTAAATGTGGCACAGCTCCATATTGGGAGTCTTGTAATTTATACACATTTTATAAGAAGCAGACAAAAGCACCTGGGACTCTGGCAACAGGGGGTTCTCCCTGTACATGCTCTTTTGAGGCTTAAGTGGGAGATTAAATGAGGTATCTTAGCAATTTAAAAAGAAGAAAAAGATATACCTCATGTAAGGGTCAACACTGAGAAACACTGATTCAAGCAGCAACTCTGCAACAAAAGACGAAGAAAATTCCTGGACATTAGTAGTGCAGTAAAGCATAGTTTCCACAAGTCAGTCTTTCAACAAAAGTGATAGAAATTCCTGACAGCTCAAAAACCCCATATCCCATCATCCTTTATGGAAAAACTACCAGAAACGACTACCACATTCAATAGCTTCGTTTGGAGTATCACTGTGCTGTTACAATAGACACTTTCTGTAGTGCCTCTTTAGGAGGCTAGCTTCTTTTTGACTCTGCTTTTCTTTATCAGCGTTCTCTCTTTATAGAAGGCTCAAGAGGCCAGACCTCCTCAGCAAAACGCTTACTTTCAATGCATATGTAAGTTGCCTTCCCATGATCCAACCAGCAGAGGGTGATAAGAAACCTTGGCACTGGTCAAATACAAACACTAGTTTGCTGCCTTAAACAGCAAGCTTTTAGGCTGTCTTTTCTAGGTAACCTAATCCACTTTACTGCCTCTAATGCCACTTGTTCTTGTGATATACGCTGTTAAGCAAATTTTAATTTAAATTCTTATTCACACAGCAGTTTTAGCTGTTCATGTCCACCTAATAGTATTTTTCATTGCCTGTGCTGTAGTGGCCTAGGTACTACAAGGTAAAAATATATTCAGATAAAAATATTTTCCCATTACTCTAAATGAGCAGGAAGAATAGTTAAGGCCATGTAACATAACAAGAATGGCCATCTCCTTCAAAAGTGTTACTCTAGTATTAAGTTACATGTCTTCTTGCTGTAGGGATTAAAATGGGAAGGAAGAAATTACTCCACATTCTTAAATATCCACAGGCATGAGATTTTTAACTGTGCCTGAATGCTATACAAGTACACATGCTTTGAAAACACTTGAAAGTATATGTAAGAAGAAATCACCTTTCAAACCTTTAAGTTGTAAACATAACTACTACTTTAATGCAATTTATTTGGCACACTTTCTAAACTGAATTAAATTTTTGTAAAAGACAAGTGGTGGGGTGAGGTTCAAGAAAGCATGGTATGAATGTCCATGTGAAGCCAAAAATCAAGGTTAATATTTTTATTAACAGCTCTTACTTACAATATTATATTCCCAATCCTTTTCAAAGCAGATAAACACAGGAATAAAACCCATGCATTTTTTTTCTCTTTTTATTCACTTTCTCTTGCTACCACACAAGTCAAATACAAAAGATAAGCACTAGCAAGAGAACAGATGATGAATATAGACATAAATCTTGCCTTGTTGCTTCTTAAAATGAAAGACCAGCCAGCATTGACTCCTGTGCCAAGGCCTCCCCGCTTCAGGGTCATGACCACCCCAGTCACTCTACTCTCCCCCACCACTATCCTCAATACCTTCCCCAACAGCATTAAAAATTCTAATTAAAACCTACTCCCAGAAGCCACCTTCTTCTCCAGCTTTCTCCAAATGATTTTGAAAAATAAAGTAGATTAAAACCTTTCACCAATAAAGCATGTTTTTGTTTTACTACAGTAATCTTATTTGCTCTTTGTCACAGTTCGCTTCTCTCTAAATTAAACTAATTCTGTTTCCCTGTGGCTGTCGGTTTTGAGGGCATATCACTTCAGCAATTTTCTCCAGTAAGCTTTATTTGCAAACATATTCAAATGCCTCTGCCACCAGGCACCAGGCATGATCAGGCACTGTGAGACTGTGAAATGCATGCCACAGCTGCTGCATGCTGCAAATAGAAGAGCTCAGCCACTGTTTCTAGGGGCATTATCAGAAGGCAGACTGTCTTAAAACCCACCAAACCCATCAGTATATGTGTTCTTGAGTGACTGCCCTTCTATGCTAAAGTGCCCATGCCAACCCATTTTCAAAAATCCAAGCCACAGAAACATACAAACAGTTCTACAGATACACATTCATCAGCCATCAGACAACCTCCAGGAAAAATAACAACAGGTGGCATTCCACTTACCTCCATCCTTTAGTTTTGGCAGCTCTATCATTTTCAGGTCAAAGTCACTGGTTTTAGGAAAACCCTCAAAATGCTTCTTCAGAACCCAGGCTTTGGCAGTCACCATCCTGTGCAACAAACAGCACGTCCAAAGAGTGCCTGTCAGAGAAGCCCAATGGTGGCAGGCTGCCCATGGAGGCTGGTTTAGATTTTATGAAGCAAAACAGTATCTTGATAACATGTCCTCACTCAAGACAGCCTCTGCTTGCATCCTGTGGCAATACCTCCAGATCAAGATAATGCCCGAAAAGCCCCCTCATTGCCTAAGCAGCCCATAGCTTCCTGTGACCTGCCAGACCTTCCCGTCTGCTGGTAAGCCCTGGTGTGGGAAGTCAGCCCCAGCAAGATGCGCAGCTCCCACGCTAAAGGAATTGAGGAGGGAAAATCTGGTTTAAGGAGAAAAAAAAAATCCTGGAAGGAAACACTTAAACTCACTCTTTTGCCCCAATTAGCTGGGGTGAGTACTGAATCTAGACTTTCACAAGCTTGAACAAAGTGCAAGTGAGAAATACAAAGGTAAGAAAGACCTCTTTCCACGACACCCCATATGTTGAAAGAAAATGCTTCTCCAGTTACCAAGCTCAGGGCTTGGAACTGGGAGCACATTGTCACCAGCATTTTTCATACAAGATGGAAACAAACAAATGACTTGCATTTGGCTTTACCCTCACAGACCCTTTTTCCTTCCTATAAGCAAATGCGTCAGCAAGGGCAAAGAAAGAGAAGTTTATACTTAGAGCAGGCGGGTGGAAAACTGTGTCTTCTGCTGACAAGGCCAGTCAATAACCTTCTGCACCCAATTCAGCTGGCAGCTGGACTTCTTCAGTCACACACCTCCTAAAAGACAAAGATGTTTGCTTTTATTCACAGAGCAGGTACTGCCCTCAGTCCACGTCCCCAGGAGCAACTATAAACACTCAGTAAACCTGGCACAGCACACACCCAACGTTTCACCTTTCTCCTAGTAAGATTTGAGATCATCCTTAACGGCTTCTCCAATTCAGCACCCAGACAGTTGCACGGGAATGTTCTGCAATATGCCAAGCTAAATACACAAAACCCAGGGTCCTAGAAACCACAAAATACTGCAGTCTGGAGACCAAAACTATCCCCCAGAGGTGTAGTTTCTTCAAATCATATTATAGCAGTCCAGTCCTAAAATTCCTGAGAGTTCTGCCACTGAGGAAAAAATATCTAATTAAAAATTAATATAAAAGCTGTCGTTCAATGCATCATTTAACACAGCAAACAATCTGTATGTACACCACTATCACTGGGAAACACTATCATGACATTTACAGTGAGATGGCTGCAGGCTTTCCAAGGACATCCATACCGACTTACGTGCTGTCATCTTTACTGTTCCCACTGTATGTACCAAAGGATATGAGCTTGTGTGGCTGTGCCTCTGTGTGCTGGGATCTCTGTACATTGCAGAGCCACCTTAAGAAATAGTAGCAAGCTTTGGCATTTTGCCTCAGCTGTGTTGCAATGAGGTATGTGGAATGGGTGAAAACTTTGCCCAGGAACTATCTGTCTTCAGCTTTTGTTTCGCTTGTGAAAATATTCAAGTAGAATATGAAGGGTGGAAAGTGTAAATAGACCAGCATGTAGTGGCATGTTTATCTGCAAAATGCCTAAAAACTAAAGTACTGATTAGGAACAGAGATCTGAGAAAATAAACAAAATTTTTAAAAGACACATAAGCAAGGACCAGGGAGAATAGGGCAACCTCCCCATTATTTAGGTAAAAGCAAAAGACACTAGACCCAGAAACTCATCAGCACTCAGCAACTTTCTATGATGAACCAGGGATCTTCCTGGTTTCTTGATGAGAAGCAAACACAGCACAGGTGAAGGTGATACTGTAAAGTTTGGTCACAACAAAACCCTCTAAATTTTGAAGTTTAGAAGGCAAGCATTCGTTCAGTTCTGGATGCACAGAGGATCACTCCACCTATGGTGCATGACATATACTGCCTCAGTCAAAGCTTCTATCATCCTGTTGTATACATATGCATCAGATTTCCCAGAAGGATGCTACATATTCATTACATTTCCTGGAATCAACCATCACATTTACATAGTCATTATGCATTCACTTAGAGTTTCTTGGGGTCTTCCTTGGGCGTCTTTGGTAGTCTTCAGGGGTTGTTTGGTTGAATCCTTCTTTAAAGCGTGCACAGTGCAGATCAACCTATTAGCAAATCATTTTCTCTTTGGTTATCTAGTCCTGTTGAGTTTCTAGCCACAGGGTTTGATTTCTTGACCTTGAAGTGACAAGATCAGGATGTTTGTCATCCAGGGCTCTGATAAGGCAGGTTAGCATGACTGAGAAACAACTTGCTTGATGACATTTCCTTATCATCTGCTGTCAGCAATTTCACAATGGCTAGCCTCAGAAGGTATCAATTACTCCCTTTAAGACTTATTAGAACCATAAATTCTCATAAGTCTCATAACATTATTCCTATGATGAAAATGACTTACAACAGATATGACAACCTGTATCTGAAAACATGCCTGCTCGTATACCAGATCAGTATATTATTTGATTCAGCAGCTGATTCACTACCTCATGAGCCATATTGGTGCAACAGGGGTAGGCTTCCGGCCATCCACTATATGTGTCCACTAAGACCAAGAGATATCTATGTCCCCCTGTTCTTGGTAATTCAGTAAAATCTATCTGTCCATATTCTTATGGTACCAGTTCACTCCTAGTTATTCCTAAAACTACCCTATTGCCTGTATTGGGATTATTTACCTTACAAGTTTCACATTTTTCAACAACTGATTTTACAGTTTTGGTCATGTGTCTACTAATTATAGTATAAATATTGAACCAGGCTTTCCGTTCCCCAATGGGTAGCTTCATGTTCTTTTGTGGCCACCTCTTCCATTAACTAGGAGTTAGTATTATGTCGTGGTTTGGGCCTGGTCGGCAACCAACCCCCGCAGCTGGTCACCCTCCCTTCCCCCTCCCCACCTGGGAATGGGGGAGGGATTAGAGGGGTGAAGGGAGACTCACAGGCTGAGATAGGAACAGTTTAATAATGGCAATAAAACGAGAACAATGACGATCATAGGGGGGAAAACAAAAAGAAATATATAAACAGGCAATGTACAGCGTAATTGCTCCCCACCCGCTGAGCAATCCCCAGCCCGTTCCCGGCCAGCGACCCCGAGATACCAAGATCCCACAATCGCAATCCTGGAAGCGAGCGAGAGAGAGAGAGAGCCCTTTCCCAACCACCCCTCCTCCATGTAGTGAGCATGTGTTCCATGATATGGAATATTTCACAGGCCAGTTTGGGTCAGGTGCTGTGGCCGTGCTCCCTCCCTGCTCCCTGTGCCCTTGTGCACGGGCAGGACATGGGGAGTCGGAGAGTCCTTGGAGTCTCGGTAGCAGCTGAAAACATCAGTGTGCTAGCAGCATTCTTATACCAAACCCAAAGCTAAATCCAAAACACAGCACTCATCTAGTCCCTGAAAGGGATATTAACTCTATTTCAGCCCAAACCAGGACATATTATTTGCCCTTGAGAGGTTATTTCCCAGCCACTCTCTTGTTCTTTTGCTCCCATGGTGGTGATAGATCTTTTGTCCTGTTCATCATAGTGAGGTATCTGGTCCATAATTTTTGATGTTTTCTCAGGGATTAAGGTTAAAATTCCAGTTTCTGTGTCTTCCTTCACTGCTTTGTCAGCTAGTTGATTTCCTTGTGTTACAACATCATTATCCCCTTTTTGATGAGCTTTACAGTACAGGCCACCCGTGAGGCCAAGTGGATGGCTTCCAATAGTTTCAGAATTTGCTCTGCATGTTTGATTTCGCTCTCCTGAATTGTTAGAAGTTCTCTTTCTTTCCATATAGCTCCATGGGCGTGCACTACACTAAAAGCATACTTTGAATCTGTCCATCATCTTCCCTTGACTTAATTCTAATGCTCTGGTCAAGGCTATAAGTTCAGCCTTTTGTGCAGATGTATTGGATGGCAGTGCTCTGCTTCAACAATAGAGTTTGCTGTAACAACCGCATATCTAGTCCTCCAGGTCCTGTCTTGCACAAAGCTGCTTCTGTCAGTATATAGTTCCCAATCCACATCCACCAATTGCTGGTCTTTCAGATCTCTCCTGCTAGAGTAAACCTTATCAATAGTTTGTAAGTGGTCATGTTTGGGAACACTTTCTAGATTTGAGGAGGATAAAAATATTGCTGGATTAATGATGGTGGTCATTTTCAAGTTCACATCATCGAATTCCAATAAAGCCACCTGATATTTCAACTTGCGACTTGGGGATAGACAGTGTCCCCTCTTTTGTTCTAATATGGCCATTACTGAGTGAGGAGCATATACAGTTATCTTTTGGCCCAAAGTCAGTTTCCAGGCCTCGGTAATCAGTGTTACAGTCGCGACTACCACCCTTAGATATCCTGGCCATCCTTAACTAGCTGTGTCTAATTGTTTGGAGGAATATGAAGTGGCTCTCTGTTCAGGTCCTAGGAATTGAGCTAATACTCACAGAGCAATTCCTTGCATTTCACAGGTAAACAGTCTATAAACTATGATTGGGTCAGGTAACCCCAAGGCTGCAACCCTCATCAAGGAGGCTTTGAGTCGTTTAAATGCTGCCTCACTTGCCTCATCCCATTGTAAAACATTTTAATCAGTGGTTTTCAGTGTCTGATATAGTGGTCTCACTAATAGTCCATAGTTAGAGATCCAAAGGCAACACCATCTGACCATTCCTAAAAAGGCACATAGTTCGTGTGGATTTTTAGGCTCAAGAAGTCTACAAATATCTTCTTTTCTTTCCTGACTTAAGTTTTGATGTCTTTTATAAATCTCAGATCCCAGACACAGGACAGTTTCTTTAGCTATCTGTGCCTTTTCTTTTGAGACTTGATAACTGCTCAATCGAAGAAAATATAACAAATCAATCATTATCTTAACGCACTCTTCCTGAGTCTCAGTTGCTATTAATATATCATCGACATACTGTAATAATGTCCCGTTTTGATTGCTTTTCCTCCATTGTGCCAATTCTTTCGCCTATTGACTTCTGAAAATGGTAGGACTATTTTTGAACCTTTGCAGGAGCACTGTCCAAGTCAACTGCGTTTTGCAGCCAGTTTCCAATCAAAAGGCAAACAATTCCTGACTCTGAACTCGAGGGGATGGATGCAAAAGAAAGCATCCTTTAAATCAGTTACGGTGCACCACTGTAATTTTTCATGCAGTGTGGTTAGCAATGTGTACAGGTTTGCCACTACAGGATTAGTATCTTCCAGTATTCTGTTAATTGCCCTCAGGTCCTGTACCATCTTATAATCTCTCCCATTAGCCTTTTTAACCGTCAGTATGGGAATATTATATTTTGATTCACATTCCACTAACAACCCAAATATAAGAAACTGGTTCACTAAGCGTTCAATTCATTTTCTTCCATTCTAATTGCTATAGTTGGTATTATTGCTTTTGTCTTATGGGTTTGGTTCCTGCTTTCAACCAGATCTTTATCCATTCTCTGCTTTTGATCATCCTGCCTTTCCACTTGCCCACACGACAGGGATCACATCATTCTTGACTTCAGCTGGAATACAGGAAACTATATTATCAATAAAATATATTGCTGCTGCCTCTAACTTTGATGGAGATACATTAAGAGACACTTACCCTTCATTAAATTTAACTTCAGCCTCTAACTTTTCTAATAAATCTCTTCCCAATAATGCTTTAGACTAATTTGGCAGATATAAAAACTGATGCCTTACCCAATGTTTTCCTAATTTAAACTTAAATGGTTGGAAAAATGGTTGGATTTCCCCGCCCCCTGTTACACCAATAACATTATTAGTTTTTGAACTAAGTGGTCCCTCTAGGGTGTTAAGTATAGAATGTGTTGCTCCAGTATCAATCAAAAATTCCACCTCTCCCTTCCCCAGCTGGGCTGTAACCAGAGGCTCTGCTGGGAAAGAGGTCTCCAGTCCCCTTCATGCTGTTTCTATATTCATAAGAGGACCCTGGGAGGGATGTTTTGCCTTCAGCTGAGAACATTCCCTTTTCCAATGGCCTTCCTGCTCACAATATGCACATTGTCCTAGGCCTAATCTCCCAGTTCACCCTCTCCCATGTCCTTGGCCCCTGATACCCCCTTTTGGGACATTCCAATGGGTCTGTGCCAGAGCGATGGTGGTCCAGTTACGATAAGCCTCCCAAGCTACATCCATTATTTTCCCAGGTCATACTGATCTGTCCCCTTGAGCTTCTGTACGTTTTTCTAATATCCTCTGTACACTGTCCTTTTATCAAATGACCTAATTCTCTCTTCCCTTCCTCTGATTCTGGGTTGATGGTAGTAAACTTATGTATTGCCTCTTTCAATCTTTCCAGAAAGCCAGAGGGTGACTCATTTACATCTTTTTTAATTTCATAGAGCTTTTACCAATTCACTGCCTTAGGGACTGCATTTCTAATGCCAGATAGGATCCATTTTTTGGTACTGCCTCAAAACCTGCCTCTCCTGGTCCCGGTTAGGGTCCCAGTTAGGATCAGTAGTAGGTAAATGAAAATTTACTGGACCCCACAGTCCACCCACCGTTATTTGTTGTTTTACTGCAATTCTAGTGGTGCGAATAATCATATCCCTGTCAACGCTTTCAAAAACATGATGCATCATGGCCTGTATATCCTGTCAATCAGGATCCTGCATCCAGATCAGGGTCTCAAATGTACTGACAACTTGATCAGGGTTTTCTCTATAATTTGAAAACTTGTTTCCAAGTGTTCAGTTCCGTAATAGTAAAGGGAATATTTATTGTGACAGGGCCATTATTACCCATGGCTTGCCTGAGGGGTGCTAGTATAGTTTCTCCTTGTCTCCCTCGAGTTTGCCCCACTACTGGGCTAAAAGCTTCTAAATCCTGATTCATTTCCTCCTGATGCCTGTTCTTGATCTGGGCTCCCAACACATTCACCCCTGATCCTGGCCTCTTTTTCAAATATTAAGTCTGGACAACCAAACAAGCCTATCCAATGTGCAGGACATCTTCTGAGACCAATATGGATAGGGTGTAACCTTTAAGAATGCCTTTTTAAAATCAGGGGTCTTACTGGTGTCCCGAGTTGGTCTGGGGATCTGTGGTTCCTCCTCAGAAAAAGTTCCCAATACCGCAGTGAAGGTCCCAGAGATTCACCAGATCCGTGGGAAACATGGCAGAGTGTCCCTGCTCGAGTGCCAAAATGATACTGTAAAGTTCAGTCACAACAAAACCCTCTAAGACTCAGTTTTGATGTTTAGAAGGCAGGCATTCTTTACTGTAGAGCTGGATGTACGAGGGATCCTTCTACCTATGGTGCATGCCTTACGCTGCCTCAATCAAAGCTTGTATCACCCTCTTACATACATATGCTGCAGTTACCTTAATAAAACACTTTGAATCCTAGAATATTATTTTGATTTTAATTTAAAAGTATGATTTTGATTTAACATGAAGCTACAGTAGCTATGAGAATATAAACTACCCTAAGGCCCTTAGGATTAAGCAACTAGTATGCTGTGTGCCTTGAACACTGTAACAATTGTTATGGACTCTGAATTAACACAATAGGTACTGGTTATGGAACTTGACTTAAAACAATAGGTACCAGAAGAAACTGGTTTGGTTGGGAAGATCGGCCAAAGGAGAAATGAGCATTAGCCAAAGATAAAATGAGCATGCGCAGGGATGGAGTTCAATCAGCAGACACAGTGAGGAAGACTATTGACGACCACCAGAGGACCCCCGTCCAGTATAACCATGCATGCGTTAGAGACATTTGCATATGATAATAATTCCCAGGAAATAACATGAATATGCTAATAATTGCCCTCCCTCCATTCTATTTAAATCAATCAGTAAGGATGACCAATGATTTCTGTAGAATAGGAATATAGGTAAGGTGAGGTAACTGAAAGCCAATCATTATTAAGGTCAAGGTAAACTTTATGAATTTTGTTGATCTTATGTAACTATGACTCTGCTGAAAAAGTGTATAAATATGCTGTGCTTTGTACCTGTCAGCGAACACGTCTTTGGCGGAGTTATCCCCCGTGTTCCCCAGCGCTGGAATAAAGAAGTGCCTGCTTATCTGCTGGGTGTAGATAAGTTCTTTCGCGATTGCGACTGCTAACACTTCTACCTATGGTGCATGCCTTACACTGCCTCAGTCAAAGATTGTATCACCCTCTTACATACATACTCATCAGATTTCCGGAAGGATGCTATATATTCATTACAAAGTGCTCCTGTATTAGGAGTGTGTGCTGGAGAAATCACCTATATCAGGACGCATAGGTGTTTCACAAAATTAAAGAATCATCATCAAGCTCACTATCGCAGTGAACAGCCAAAACCAGCATTCCTCACATCCCACATACAGTCACAAGAATGAAATTCACAGAATATTTACCTGCAGCAATTGCCATCTAACTTGCAAATGCTTTTTCTTAAAAAAAATAAAAAATAAAATAATAAAAAAAAAAAAGCAGGTGACACTCCCCTGGCATTTCCATTCACTGCCGCATCTGCTTTGGCATCTATGGTGTCTATCTGTGCTTTTCAGTAACACAGGATATTGTGACACTGCAGCAACAACAAAGCAGACTCAGCGAAGGGGTTTACAGTAGCAAAAGGTGAGTTCAGAGTAACACAAAACTGATCCCACTCACTCACTCATAGCCACAAGCACTAAGAGGTGTTTGTCCCAGCAGTGTGTCCTGCCTTCGGACAAGGGGACGCTGGCTAGGCAGGCAGCCATGAGCTGATGTGCCATTTGTGCCCTCGGGGAGCCAACAGTGATTCAGAAATGCTTTGTCTCCCATCCAGTCCCACCTCTGTGAGTCATCAATATTCACTCCCTGCTTTTTGTCTCTTTTGTTTATGTGCCTCGAGGCTCCAGCCCTGTTCTTTACATTCCCACCATCATCTCTTAATAGCTTGATTCTTCACTTCAGTCTGAGTACAGGAACATGGAACATGTTGTCCTTTGTTTTAGGCTGTCTTTTGCTTTCCCTATCAGGTCCTCTCCAGAAGCTGCACAAAGATGTGCTACAATTCTGATGATCTGCAAATCTAGATGCCATCAGCATTGGACATTTCCATCTCTCTCCTACTGTTCCTTGTGGTGCTTCCACACTCAGACCTGCCATTCACACCAATCTTCACATTCCTATAAAGAATTTCTACTTTTTGTGACACACAGATTTTTCAGCAGAGCAATGATTCCCTATTACAAACAATACTGAAAGATTAATTTCACTGAACCATTTTTATTACATGTAGGCCTAACTTTGGGAACAGGACAGATTTTCTGCTGACCATTGCTCACCTTCTACTGAAATTGCATTACTGTAGCCATTTCAAGGCTAGGGATGTTTTCTGTAGGCTGTAAAACAAAAAGACCCAAGACAAACAAACAGAAAACAGAGCACAGACACATGCTTGATCAATGGATTCACAAACCACTTTCCAGGTTAACAAACCAGGATTATTTTATATGTTTAGATATAAAATCATAACTGGTAACGACTACATTGTAAAAGCATATTAAAGAACTCTAAAGCATGCACAGCAGTGATGCAACATTTTTGGGGTCCAGCAAAAGTATTACTGGTCTAAGCATGTGATAGCCACCATCTCAGCTCCAAGAGCAGTACCCACTGTGCTGTAAAAGTATTTCATTGTTGCTGTCAGTGGGTTTGAACAATACATTTCTTTTGTGTATTCTCTGTATGTTTCATAAACCGTAATAATCATTACTGCAAAGAGGAAGCTATGATAAAAACTTGATAAAGGACTCCATAAGGTGATAAAAAGTCACTTTTAAAAATAATTCACTTCTAGCAAGTCCCAGGAAAAAAATTAATGCAATGCATTTTTGCCTGATATTCTTACAAAAGAACCATTAAAGCTCTTAGTGAAGTCCAATACAATATTTATTCCAATGCCCTTCAAACCCTCCTTGTCCTCTTGATATAGCACACTTCACACTTGCAAGTGGGCATAGTTAAGAATTAATAGTACTCCCACAGCTGCAGGTGGCAATACACAATAATATACATCAAGTCTGATGGTAGGCATACTTACAGAGCTTATGAAGACAATCACAGAGTCGTAAAGATAGGTGGAGCAAGACCCAGAATCATGACCAAGATAACCCTGATTAGTGATAAGGAATTTAGGAGGAGCAGACTCTGACCTCTGTCTCTAGGTAATAGATAGATAACAAAATCATAACAAAATGCCAAGGATTGATTATGTTAAGAGTGGAGTATTTGACAATCTGACAAAGTGACCAATTGACTCATTAACTTGGCAGGGTAACTAAGTTTTTAAGTGTTATAAGAGTGAACTACCTTCATTGTAATACTAAAAAACACATCCCCAGGTCAGAATGACCCCTGGCCAGGTTAAAGACACTTCCCCTGAGCTTGCATAGTGATAAAAGCATTATGTAATCTGTATTACATTTGTAGTATAATTACTAACAAATCAGTATCTAATAGGTGTGTTTGGAAAAATACTTACCTTTGATTTTTGTGTATAAAAGAAGCACCTAAACCTGCTCTTAAGGGGTGCTTGATTTGTAGAAAACTCCACAGAGCACCCAGACCTGACTGGTTTATTGCACGATGGGCATGAATCTGCTTTATGGGTAACACTCTGGTCTAGGTCATCAAGCTATAAAAGAATAAAGTTTTACATTAATCCCTATCAACTTTTTCCATAAAATCAGACACCTAGGAAAGAAGTAATGGATTGGGGAATCTCAGCTTTGCGCACTAACGATATACATAAGAAAGCAAAGATCCAGGCAGTGATCAGACACTCCGGGTGGTGAAAACCATAGCAGAGTTGCAAGAAAAGCACTTTCACACAGGTTATCACAGCTCAATCCCCAAAATCAGCACAGGGAAGGATGTTCACAATTCAGGGGGAAATGGGAGAGAAGAGAATAAGGAAGAGACAAAAACTGGGATCCCATAGTAGATACTGGCAACTGGAAAAGAAGGTCAGGAATAAAAGAGAGGACAGACAAGTCTCAGAAAACTGAGAGATTGACTGCAGGCTGAGGAGCTGGTAGTGATGGATGAAATCTGGGAACTTCACATGAAGGTAGAAGAGTAGTGAGGCTCTCAGGAGAGCATAAATCAAACCAGCAAAATTTACTTTCATTAAATAATCCCAAATAATATTTGTATCTTCTGTGGTATGGCTTCCTAGCCTGGACTGGCCCAAATCTAACCCTGACGATAAAATTGTCTGAGAAGCCTGTCAGTTAAATAAATTAATTTAAAATTTGGGGTTAGTTTAGCAGTTCATCTTACTGCCAGTCACAAGTAATTTGAAGATATGACTGTGGTACTCGTTTCCTTTTATCTCAGTTCTGAAGCAGGAACAGCTATGCTCCCAGCTAGACTGGAAGGAAAGGATATCATTAAAAGCTGAGTAAAGTGTGTATCTCAGCCATAATTAGTTTGTAGATCGGTGCTGAGGAAAAAACACCTATCACCAGAACAGCAAAGCTGTTCAGGAGATGACCATGTCACCCAGTCCCTTCCTCCAGGTCCAATTTACGCAGTCTCCTGCAGCATTTCAACACAATCTGCCAGGCACCAACATAAAGGATTTTCTAAATACTTAACAAACAAACAAGCAAACAAACAAACAAAAACCCAAACAAACTTAAAAGAACTTCTTGGTAGTAGAGACTGCCAAGGGAGTCATAATCCAGAGGCTACTTCAGGATTCCCCACACATTACAGGATTATCAAGTACCTGGGAGTGAGTATGTCCTCGAATCGTAAGTGCCTGCAAGTCTTCACAAAAGTCACCTGTTCCTCCCCTCTGGTTTAGCTATTACAATGCTTTCTCAGGAATTAGTTTTTCCTGTGGTGAAAAACAAGACAAAGGCAAACCACTCCTACTTTTGGCAGATACTACACCGCAAATACCACCCTAGAAGGAGGTCAAAGGTTGGAGGTGGGTAGTCATCACTCAGTAAAAAAACTGTGACGCCCTGAACTTTGTTACAAGGCTGTAATTCCAACAGGGGTTCGACAGTCCTGCAGGGCAAGCTCACACAGGGAGGTGGAAACAGAAGCCCAGACTTGCACGGAAACAGGTCAGCTGCCCTTCAGCTCTCAGAAACTGCACATAAAATGACAATCTGAAGAATTTATAAAATAGAATAAGAAGCTCATAGATAGGAAGGAAGACAGCACACTGCAGGTGACTTGAGCTGACAAACCAAGCCAAAACTTCATGCAGGGCCAGCTGTGATTCCCTGGTCACCACAGGGCACTCTTCAGCTTTTTTCAAGCACTCTTTCTACTTTGTCCTTGCTGAAATACAGCCCAAGCACGTACCGCAACATCAGTAAACGCAAAATTTTGTCAAAGCTGCTGCAACATACTGCAGCACACTTTTGCTTCTTAAGTTTGCAGAGATGTGCCTGTTGCTGTACCATAGAGAGAAATGTATCATCTGCTTGATTTTGCATCTGCCAAAGAAAACTCCGTTTTTCTAAAAAAGCTCCATTAAGCTTAAATTTCTAGAAAAATCCATTTAAATTAAATCCTAAACTTTTGACTACACCAAGAAAGCCATTTTGTTTTAGGGGGAAAATATAAGAAATCTCAGCTGGTATCTGATGTTGTAAAGTTACTGCACGAGCTTCAGGATTTACTAAACCCCTCATTTCTCATTACTTACCTCTACAGAGGTTTAAGCAGACTCCTCGTCTGTCCTCTCACTGCGTAGTGTAATACAATAGCCCTGTGTGCTCAGAAGGGAAATTACGAACATAATCTCAAACAGCAGCAATCTCTCTGAGGCCCCCTCCTGAATTTCTGTAATATTACAAGGGCAGATTCATCGTTGAATGAGTTCCTGCTTATAACACACACAACCAGCTTCTCCCTCAAGAGAGAGACTCACTGTTTCATCCCACACAGCATATCCAATACATACCCGTTACCTATTACCACTCTAATACATCTGCAGTATTAAAGAGACTGAGATGGACAAATGAAAAGGTATAGGGATGAGAGAAAAAAAGAGGGAAGTCAATGAGAGTCTAAGGAACTGCAGTGGAAGGGTGGAAGCGCAAAGCAGTGATCAGTACCTGTTGTATTGCTGCTTTAGACAGCAGACAGCATCTGGCAAAAGGGTCCTGAGGACCTCCCTGCTCCTGCAGCACACATCAGATCAGCATAGTACTTTTCTGTTATATTCCACAGCGAGTGAAAATGGGTGCATCTATGCAAAATGCCATCCCAGGGGTCCCAGTGCCATGATGGAGAAGCCCCCCTGCAGTGATGTACAGCCCCCAACAGATTTGCCTCTCACCACTGATCAACTCTGGTCACTTGTGTGAGCTCTGGCTGACGTTTCCTATGGTCTCTAAACAGGAGTGTCCATCTAGCCCTACCAGACAGGATGCAATACTGGACCTGTTGGTCACCAGTGCAAGTGAGCTAATGGGTGACATCAAGACTGGGGCCAGCCTGGGCTGCAGTGATCATGTAGTAGCAGAGTTTGCAGTCCTGAGGGATATAGATCAGGCAAAGAGTAAAGACAGGACCCCCAATTTTAGGAAAGCAAGCTCCCAGCTGTTCAAGGACTTAGGCAATAGGACCCACTGGGAAACTGCCCTCAAGGACAAGGAAGCAGAACAGAGCTGGCAGATCCCTAAGGCTGCTTTCCATAGAGTGGAAGAGGTCTTGTTCCCTGGGTGTAAAAGATCAGGAAAGGAAGGCAAGAGACCATCATGGATCAGTCGAGACCAGCATGGATCAGTCAAAACCTGCTGGTCAAACCCAAGGGCAAGAAGGAAATGCACAGACAGTGGAAGCAGGGACAGGTACCCTGGAAAGAGCACAGGGAGTCTGCCTGGCTGTGTAGGGATGGGGTCAGGAAGGCCAAGGTGTGGCTGGAGATGAGCTTGGGTATGGATGCAAAGAATAAGAAGGACTTCAGCAGGTATGTCAGCCAGGAAAGAAATGCCAGAGAAAGCATACCCACCTTGATGAACATGTGAGAAGTAACAGAAGAATTTTGCTTTCCCTAAAAGTAATTTCATGTTTAAACCGAATGGTTACATGTAACATTGTGGTTGCCTCCCCTGGTGAGCAGCTTCCTGTTTTGTGATAAAAAGTAGTGAAGCAGTGGAAAAGTGCAGGGAGAGACAGCCTCAAAGAAACCAAGAAAAAGGAACTGCACGGGTACAAAAAGGAAGGCTGGAACTATAAAAAGAGGCCTCTGCTGGGGGAGGAGGTGTGCCATTGCACCCAGCGCTGTATTCTTTGCTCCACTGACTTTGTCCACAATAAAACATTTTTTTTTTTTAATGTATATGGGCTTGTTTCTCACAAATATGACTGGCAAACTGGTAACAAAGACAAGGAGAAGGCTGAGGTCCTCAATATTTTTTTTGCCTCAGTGTTCACTGGCAGGGACTGGGGGAGTAAAGTCCCTCTCACTGTAAGAGAAGATCAGGTTTGTGACCACCTGAGGCACCAGAACACACAGAAGTCTATGGGATCTGACAAGACACATCGCAGAGTCTCGAGGGAAGTGGCTGATGTAGCTGCCAAGCCACTCTCTGTGATATTCAAAAATTCATGGCAGTCAGGTGAATGAAGTCCCTGGTGACTGGAAAAAGGGAAACATTGCACCCATTTTTAAAAAGGGTAGAATGGAAGACCCTGTGAACTACCAATCATGCTTTCAATCCTTAGAGATTCCAGTGAGGACACTAATGAGTTGCAAAAAGCCTGCCTCTTTTTGCACTGATTATATAATTAATTTTGTGCAGTATTAGCATGTACTTACTAAAATCAAACCCTTTCCCAATTCTTAAAATACTAACTTCATAAACCAGTGAAGCTGTACTAGTTTACCTTTGTAGAATATCTGTTTGTGACCTCAGAGCTAGGAAGGGTATCAGCTATACATTTGGTATAATGCACATTATAATACAAAAAATTCTCCTAAATAAGCTGCTAAAAATATATTTTCCTTCCTCAAATCACATGCTATATTCATTCCAACATGCTAATTGCATTTCAGGTAGATGCAACTTTTTTTTTTTATTTATTTTTTTATTCGTTAAAATTGAACACTATCATTACAATAACACATTTTACCATTACACCAAATGAAGCACCCAACCTTTAGGGCCTGTGAGGTCAAAGCTATTCTATAACACCTTAAGAAAGGGTGAAATTATCCCTCTCCCTCGTGTCATATGCAAATAGAGAACATACATGGTTATCTTTATAGTGGAAAGTGTGATAAATAACAGAAGAATTTTGCTTTCGCTAAAAGTAATTAAACAATTACTTTTATTGAGTTAGGCAAAAGCTGTTATTAAAAATTAGTGTTATTAAAATTCTGACAGTTAAGCAAGCCTTTTTTGATCACAAGTTAGGCATGTGGTTGGGCATTATGTGGAGTTGGGTTAGCAAAAGGATGGGAGGTGTCCGTTGTTAGGTATCATGTAAAGAGGAATGGAAGCCAGCAGAAAAAGGGTAAAGCAAAGAACTGATGAAGAAGAACCTGGACTTCGCCCCCAACCCCCCTCCCGACCCCTCCCAGAGGACCACTGAGACCAGGGCCAGGGAGTGGGGGGAAGGAAAGCGAGTGGACTCGCTTGGCTTGGCTGTCTTGCAGGGTTCTTTGATTTAATGTTTAAACCAAATGGTTACATGTAACATTGTGGTTGCCTCCCCTGGTGAGCAGCTTCCTATTTTGTGATAAAAAGTAGTGAAGTAGTGGAAAAGTGGAGAGACAGCCTCAAAGAAACCAAGAAAAAGGAACTGCACGGGTACAAAACGGAGGACTGGAACTATAAAAAGAGGCCTCTGCTGGGGCAGCGTGAGCCACTGCGCCCAGCGCTGTATTCTTTGCTCCACTGACTTTGTCCCCAGTAAAACTTTTTTTTTAATATACGTGGGCTTGTTTCTCACAAAAGCCTCTCACATCAGAAGTGGTTCTTCTTTATTTCTATTTTTCTTATTTCAGGCTGTAGTTAGCCTGGACAGAAAAGGAGTAGCTGAGGCATGTACAGCAGTGGCTACTCAGCTGCCAGCTCCATCAGCCGCACTCTGGCAATCATTCTGGCCCTTTGCAGAGCAACCAAGTGCCACCTGCAGCATAGTCCAAGCAACCAACTCAGAGAAACTAGTCAGGAACTCAACTTCAGGCAAGAAACGTGCAACCACATTGCCACAGATCACAGATTATTTTTTTTTTTTTTCCAGTCAGAAAGGATTCAAAAATAATTTGGAAATATTTTAAACTCTCCAAATAAAAAGTGTCATTTAATGATGGTTGTATAGTTACATTGTGTCAGTCTGATTCTTCCCCGTACTTTAAAATTAATTTTCTCAGTATGGTGTGCAGATGTTAGCAAATGGATGGCTGTGAGGGCATCATCAAGGGCTTCCTGGCTGCAGTATCTCCAGCAGCAGTGGTGTCACAGTAATGCCTGCTAAACAGATCAAGCTGCATGCAGTGTAATTCTTGATGAGAGCAGACACACAAAAAATTTTTCCCTGTAATGTAGACTCGGAGCATGATTTATTTCAAATTATTAAAATAACCTCAGACTATAAACTAGGTAGTCCAGTGCAGGAAGTTTTACAGCTGCTCTCCAGATCTCAGTGGTAACACTAAGCCCAACTGACAGCACAATTTTACAGCGTAACTACAGCATTTTCCGGAAAGAATTAAAGCAGTCAGCTGACTTTGTTTTTCCACTTTGACCGGTGCATCACGGGACAACTACTGCTCTTCCAATGACAGGCGCTGGCAAATTTTGAATAGGTTCTCTTTATTCTGCTTGAATGGGAACACCTCTGTTAAGTCCCAGGAAGGCAGTTCAGCAGGCATGGACAGGTTTGGGTTTGTTTTGTTTTGTTTTGTTTTGTTTTGTTTTTGCGGGGATGGGGTGGTGGTGTTGAAGCACAGAACCACACTTTCTTTACCTGAATGTAATTTAAGGGCGGCACAAAGGCGCTTCCCGCCGCCGCCTGGAGCTAACACGCAAGCCCCCACGCACCACCCCACACCAGCCGCCTCCTGCCCCCCCCCTCCCCGCCCTGTCCCCCCCTCCCTCTCCCCTGCTCCCCCAGGCACGCCCGGTCACGCCGCTCCGCCTCACCGCCCTCCCAGGAGCTGAACTGGCCATTTCCGACCCGTCCCTGACCCTGCGTACAGCCGCTCCCCGACTCCCGGGTCCGCAGCCCGCCCGCCTCGGCGGCGCCCGCTCGCCCCCGCGCGTGCGCAGGCGGAGGCGCTGCCCGCGGGCCTTGCTCGCTCCTCCCCCAGCAGGCGCCTCCTCTAACGGTCGCCGGCTTTCGGCGCCAAAGTTCAGTTGCGGCAGGCGGCGGGAGGCACCGCGGCGGTGAGTCGGCGCGGCGGGTGGGCCGCGGGGCCCGGCCGAGGTGCTGCCGAGGCCTCGCTCGGTGCGGGCGGGCAGCGGCGGGGCTGCGGGGAGCCGCGGCGCGGTCGGTGAGGGTGTTGAGGGTGGGCGCCATGGCGGCGGCGGCAGGGGCAAGGATGGAGCTGGGAAGGGAGGCTCCGCTTCTGGCGGGCTCTGGAAGACCCGGGCCGTTCCGTTGCCCTTGTTGTCTGATGGGCTAAAGGGCAGCTTTATGAGAAATTCAGTGTTGTGCCAGACTCTTGAGGCAGATGTCACGGTGAACGTCGTGTAAAGTCACGGTGCTCAGAGATGTTGAAACAGAGCTTATTGTTGGGACGCTTTCTGGATCTTGGGTCTACCTGGAATTTTCCGTTTATAAATGCATAATCTTTTTGTTGTGAAAGGAATGTATTCTTTCTGTTTTCTCATACATGTAGGTGTTTGTTTGGCATGCAGTATGATTCATTTGCTGCTTCTTTATTTTTCTTTGAAAAATGTAGGATTGCTTCCTTCATACTCTTGGGACGAATATTTTGCCTGGTCCCTTAGGAATACAGAGAAGATGTACATCAAGTCAATTGCCCTTGAAGGATTTAAATCCTATGCTTACCGGACGGAAATTTGTGACTTTGACCCATTTTTCAATGCCGTTACTGGCCCGAATGGTAGCGGCAAGTCCAATGTCTTGGATTCAATCTGTTTTCTGTTGGGAATCACCAATCTGTCACAGGTAAAGAGAGAGATGGCATTTAAGAAAGGTCTTTCTTCTGTCAACAACGTTTCATATTAATCCTGAATAATTTCCGATGGAAAACCTGAAGTGGTGCTTCTATTTAAAAAAAAAAAAAAAGTTGTATTTATTTGTGTTTTTCATTACACAAAACTGGTTCTCTGTCGTTCTTGCTCGTTCTTACATTATGATTGAATTGCAATTTCATCAATATACTACGCGAGCTCAAAGCATGCAGCTTAGAATATTACACTAAACATACCCACTTAAAAGGTAGCATCCTCAAGCCGAAGATCTGTTGCAGCTAAAGGCACCAACTTTTTCATTTGTAATAAACCTTTTCACTTCTAGGTCTTAAAATTTAGCTAACTTGTTCATCAGAAGAAAATAAAAAGCTGGTTTTCATGCTGTGCCTGCTATTTGAAATACGATATGTCTGCTTTATTCTTAATAAAAAGAAATTGTCTGTTCTGACATCAGTTTGAATCTATGAATGATAAATGCTTTTTAAGTAAAAGTACTGATGCCTGAGCTGGTGAGCTGGCTTCTTTTTAATTAATAAACATCTATTTAGTCTTTGTCACGAGTCTCATGCAGAAACAGTTATCTGAGTCACTATAACTAGACTGGCACATTGCCTGTGGCTTTACAATGCTAGCACCTTGCAGCTCCTGTATGTCGGTCTCGTGAACTCTTAAATGCACACCTAGATCTCCAATTTTTTTCATTCATTTCTCCTAAACCTGCAGTAGTACACTGAAGCTGTATAATGAATTTCCTTCAAAAATGTGCTTATCTGTTCTATGGACTTAGGTGCGAGCTTCTAACATGGAAGATCTCATTTATAAAAGTGGGCAAGCTGGAATTAAGAAAGCAGTTGTGTCTATTACCTTTGATAATACTAACAAGAAACAAAGTCCGCTGGGATTTGAACGTAGTGATGAGATCATCATCACTAGGCAGGTGAGTTTTTAATATCAGTATTGCTTAGTAGTCTATTTTTACCATGCTCCACAAAGTGACTTTTCAAGGAAAAAAAAAGGTGATTCTTAGTCACTGCATTTTTGAAGTTAAAGCAATGCTTCTAAGTGTAGTTAGTAATACAAACTGTAGAAGTAGATCCAGTGTAGTAGATAAAAAAAATTGGAATTCCTTGGGAAATTAGTTTAATATTGTTAAATGTATTATATCAATAGTATTTTTTATAGACTTGCACAGAAACATAGTAATAATAATGAAATAATATTCTTAAAGCAAGTTATAATTTTGTATTTTGTGGCTTTTTCTTCTGTTTTCAACATTTTCCTCTTGATATCTGAACTATGTGATAAATTTGGTTTCCAAGAACAGAGAAACCTTTATAATTCTTATGAAGATATGTCCCAAGTTTTTTTTTTTTTTTTTTTTAAAAGAGAGGTAAAAGTGGAAACGTATGGAGTTTGGAAATTTTCCTTTCACTGTTGCCCTCAATGACCTTTCATCATGTTTTAGTTAAAAATGTCTCTTCAGTCCAACAAGATCTGTTTTTGATGTTCTCTATAGCATGCATGTATATGTGTTGCATTTACCTTAACAAAATAGATTGAATCCTAGAATATGATTTTGATTTTAGTTTAAAATATGGCTTTGATTTAAAATGAAGTTATAGCAGCTATGAGAACATATGATATGTTAAGATCTTAGGAGCAACTAGCATTGTGTTTGCCTCGATTACTATGGAAATTGTTATGGACTCTGAATCAAACCAATGGGTACTGGTTATGGATCTTGATTTGAAACAATAGGTACCAGAAGAAACTGGGTTTGGTTGGGAAGATCAGCCAAAGATAAAATGAGCATGAGCAGGGATGGAGTTCAATCAGCAGACACAGTGAGGAAGACTATTGATGACCACCAGAGGACCCCCGTCCAGTATAACCATGCATGCGTTAGGGACATTTGCATATGATAATGACTTCCAGGAAATAACATGAATATGCTGATCATTACCCTCCCCCCATTCTGTTCAAATCAATCAGTAAAGATGACCAATGATTTCTGTAGAATAGGAATATAGGTCAGGTGAGGTAACTGAAAGCCAATCATTATTAAGGTCAAACTAAACTTTATGAATTTTGTTGATCTTATGTAACTATGACTCTGCTGAAGAAGTGTATAAATATGTGGTGCTTTGTACCTGTCAGCGAACACGTCTTTGGCGGAGTTATCCCCCGTGTTCCCCAGCGCTGGAATAAAGAAGTGCCTGCTTATCTGCTGGGTGTAGATAAGTTATATTTGCAATTGTGGCTGCTAACATATGTGTATGCAAAGATAAAATATATGGGATTTGCTCAGATTTTTTTATTCTTTATTACAGTTTATATTCTTATAATTTCAAGTCATTTTTAAATCACTTGAAGTTTCTTCCACTTCTTTTCCTCTCCAGGTTATCATTGGAGGTAAAAATAAGTATTTAATCAATGGTATGAATGCCCCTGTGTCTCGCGTGGAGGATATTTTCTGTTCCATTGGACTCAATGTCAATAACCCTCACTTCCTCATTATGCAGGTATTGTGTGCATAAATGAGTGGGATTTTTTGGATTTGGGGTTTTGGCTGTTTTTTTTTTTTTTTTGTCTTACTATTGCATGGTACACAAACACCATCCTTGTTTTATCTTTCTGTCACCAGGGACGAATTACCAAAGTTCTAAATATGAAGCCATTAGAGGTAAGAAAGTTGTGGGAGTTTTTTTGTCTGAAGTTTTACTGAATTTGAATGACAAGAATGAATACAGGGATGGGGCTGGAGGAGGAACAAAAAAAAAAAAGTGTGTCAGAGGTAGATGAGATGTAAATCTCATTTCTGAGTAGAACCTATCTAACATAAGAAGAAACTTCAAATTTTTGTTGCATTGTTTTATTTTAGATTTTGTCTATGATTGAAGAGGCAGCTGGTACTAGAATGTATGAATGCAAGAAAAGAGCTGCCCAGAAAATCATAGAGAAGAAGGAGGGCAAATTGAATCATATTCAAATGGTACTACATGCTGGAAAGTATACTTTCTTTTGTATTTATAAAGATAAACTTACTAATTAGCGTAGAGTGCTTTTTAATGTGTAGAATATTTAATTTCTGCACTTGGAACTAGGTATTCATGCTTAGACATGTAAGAGTTTAAAAAAATCTGAATATGAATGTTCTGGTTTGTATTTCAGATCTTAGAGGAGGAGATCGCTCCAACTTTAGAGAAGCTGAAGGAGGTATGGAAAAATTAGAAGAGTGGTAGAGCGTTTGAAGTACTGAAAACTTACTTTCAGCTACCTTGAACCAGTATGTGGTGGCTAAAACAATAGCATGTTTTCAAGCTTTGTGGAATCTTTTGAGAGAGAAAAGTTTTATCTTTTGTCTAAATACAGAAAATGTGACATTCAGTACTTCCAGGAAATCCTAGAAGGGGAATGTAGAGAGAAGGAAGAAAGCAAGAGAACTAGATAAAAATAGAAGATAAACATATCTTAGTTCTTACAAAACTTCTTGCAAGTGGTATTTCATCTGTACAATTAATTGTACAGCTGAAATATCTTTAAGATTTTCCTTAGCTGGCCTGCAATGTCTTACTTAATATGGAGAATCCTTCTTATCTGCAAATAATAATGTTAGTAGAAGTGCTTAGAAGATTTCTGTAACAGTCCTACTTAATATTATTTTTCCATCAAATTTTAAAGGTTTTTTTTTAATTGCTGTCTTTTCAGGAAAGATCACTCTATCTAGAATACCAGAAAACAACACAACAAATACAACAGTTAAGCCATGTCTATATAGCTCACCAGTTTGTTGAGGCTGAAAAGATAAAGGTATCTGCTGCTGCAGTATTAAAGGAAATGGAGACTGATATACAGAACTTTCAGGAATCAGTTGCTGAAAAAGAAAAGTTGATGAGGCAACTTAATGAAGAAATAGCAGAGATGGAAAAGAAAAGGCTGAAAGTAAGTGGGAACAGAGGTGTGCTCGTCTGAGTATCTGAATACAAGGAGTTCTATGAGAAAGGAGTTATTTTTACAGATAACACACCCTTTAAGTTTTCTCTTCTGGTGGGTTGTTTAGATTATACACTGCTCATTGTCATTCTTAGCCATTGTCTAAAAGACATCCATTTAAAGTTTTCATTTTTCTGAAATGCTTTATTTCCAATCGCTGTAAATGGAATAACTGAAGAATAGAAACTGTTTGCCCTCATGTTTCCACTTTGTGCATTCAAGGATAAGTTTTGCCTGATGTTTTCTCTCCCTTTTTGTTGATGTCTCAAAAGAAATACACCTCAAGTGGGAAACTGGTTCGACAGACCTCAGTTTTGGGGGCAGTAAATTTGGTTAGATACAGGATGGCTCGTGGTCTTTGGATGACTAAATGCAGCTTTTGGCCAGGGACAGTGTCGCATGATATGGGATTATGTAGGTCTTCAGTAGTGGCTTCAAGTTAGTTTGGATTTCAGAGGGAAGAGGTGTTCTGACCTGTTTGCATTGAAGTCTGGCTGCCGCTTGATCGGATATTTATATTTTCTTCCACATATAGCTGTGAGCAGAAGATGAAATAATTAAAAACACTGTATCAGTTTTTTAAGCTAAATTAAAATTCCTTTGTTTCTGATTTTAGGAAGTTGATGGTAAGCTCCGTTTACTGGAAGATGCTCTTTCAGAAAATCAAAGAGTTAATACTAGAGCACAAAGTGCCCTTGATCTCAAGAAGCAAAACTTAAAAAGCGAAGAGGTGAAGTACAAAATACTGTCAGAAACTGTGCGGGAGGTAAGACCTTTGTATATAATTTTCTTTAAACACTAAATTAATGCAGATTGAGGGGGACATCTGTTTTTTCTTACCTATTATGGTAAGAAAAATCCTATGATTGGCAAGAATTACATCAGGAAAGCAGAAACAAATGGTAAGGGCATTGTTTGGTTTGTGTAGCATACATCATAGAAACAAATGTGATACATACACAAAGTGCAACTCTTCATGGTTATGAACCTTCTATTTAGCTCAGGAGAGATCCCTAAAGCTTCAAATGTATTATGCTGTCTGGACATGTGGTATTCTTAAAATTAAAGGAGAAATTTCTATATTGTGTGTTTTGACAGTTGATGTGTTTTTTTTAATGCAAGAGAAGCACTGAAGACTACTTTTTAGGCAGTGGAAGAAAGAGCTATTTCTCCTAGTTCTTGGACAGTTGTTATCTGTATTTTATCCTGTAGATCTTCAGTGCACTCGTGGTGCAAGTACACACTAGAAAACATGCAAAGACAAATTGCAAGATCACAATCTGACAAAGGGTTAGCTAGCTAATGAAACTACTCATAGCTCCTCATCTAAACAACATGAATTTAAACTTAATGTGAACCAGGTTCTCCTTTTGTTTTTATTCTTTGTTTTGCTGAAGGAGTCTAAAATGTTAGTGTCAAAGGAGAAAGAAATTAAGAAGATAGAGGAAGAACTAAGTACTTTACAGGAAGTAAGTGGAAAAGATGCAGATGCTTTAGCTGTGGCACAAAAGCATTTTAATGCTGTGTCTGCTGGCTTGTCGAGCAGTGGCAATGGGGAAGAAGCTACTCTTGCTGGCCAAATGATGACCTGTAAAAATGAAATCAGCAAAGCAGAAACAGAAGCTAAACAGGTAAGAATAAAAGCTCTGCTTGTTTCAGAGCAGCCTTCCTGCTGCTTTTGAAAATTAACTGAAAACCAAATGAAATGCTCTTGAAGGGTCAGTGAAAAGATTTGCAGAATATCTGTGCAAGATATTTTACAATCTGGCATATGCATTAAGGTGACTTTTTGATAAAAGAGGTTATTTAAAAAAATGTTCCTTGCATAGATGTAGACAAATAGGGAAAAGCTATAACACTGCTGTGAAGAAGTATAGAAATGGGCATTTGATACATGATACAGGACTTGCAGTGGTCAAATGACTGATGGTATTGGACAGAAAGAAATTAAGACAGGTGTCTGATATGCATTCATACTACAGAGATTTCCATAGTAAAACTTAGTGGAATCAACATAAAGATGCCTGAGACTATGAATGGAGAGTTCAGAAGAAACTGTTTTTTCCTCAGTTAAATTGTGTGCTAGTCATGTCTGAAACAGATGCTACTTCTTTTGTCTTAAGATAGAAGACCTCTGCTGGGGTTGTTCTCACAATTTAAATTTTCAAAGTGCCCCTTGCTTGTCTCACTTAAGGAAAAACTCTTTTGGAGAAAATAACAAGGACAGCTGTGTCCCACCTTAGTTTACCTTGTTTCTTCTCAGACTCTATTCATGTGCTAATTTGAGTTTTTGTATCCAAATACATGATTTATGCTTTTATTTCCAAATCACCTGTGCCTTTACTTTCAAAAGCTGAGTCTGCTTTTGGCCTTTCTGCAACCAGTAGAAATTTCCAAATTGTATAAGTAACTTGTTAATGCAAGTATTCTAAACCTGCACCTGCAAGATTCTCTTTGAAGATCTTCTAGTTCCATATTTTTGTATTCCTTACAGGCTCAAATGAAGCTGAAGTATGCACAACAGCAATTAAAAACAAGAGAAGCTGAAGTTAAAAACGTGGATAAAGGCTTCCAGGAAGACCAAGAAGAACTTAAAGCTGTCATAAAAGCAAAAGAAAAATTAGAGAACCAAATTAAGAAGCTGAACTATGAAGGTCTGTACAGATTTCTGGTGCATAATATCGGGGGAATCTGAAATGGAAAATAGAAGCATGGTGGGTTGACCTTGTCTGGATGTTGCTCTATCACTTTCCTCCTCAGCTAGACAGGGGAGATAAAATATGAAAGGCTTATGGGTTGAGACAAGGACAGGGAGATCACTCACCAATTACTGTCATGGGAAAACCAGCCTCAACTTGGGGAAATTAATTTAATTTATTAGCAATCAAATCAGAGTAGGGTAATGACAAGTAGGAACAAACCTCTAAAAGACCTTCCACCCATGCTCAACTTCATTCCTGATTTTCTCTACCTTCTTGCCCCTACCAGCAGTGCAAGGGAACAGGGAATGGGGCTTAGGGTCAGTTCATCACACATTGTCTCTGCTGCTCCTTCCTCCTTGCACTGTTTCCCTGCTCCAGCGGGGGGATCCCATCCACAGGAGACCTTTCCACAGGCTGCAGTTCTTCATGAACTGCTCCAGAGTGGGTCCCTCCATGGGATGCAGTCCTTCAGGACCAGACTGCTCCAGCGTGGGTCCCCCACGGGGTCACAAGTCCTGCCAGCAAACCTGCTCCAGTGTGGGCTCCTCTCTCCATGGGGCCACAGGTCCTGCCAAGAGCCTGCTCCAGCATGGACTTACCACTGGGTCACAGCCTCCTTTGGGGGTACCTCTACATGCTCTGGCGTGGGGTCCTCCATGGACTGGCTACAGGTGGGTATCTGCTCCAAAGTGGACCTCCCTGGGCTGAATGGGCACCACCTGCCTCACCGTGGGCTTCACCACGGGCTGCAGGGGAATCTCTGCCCTGGCACCTGGAGCACCTCCTCCCCCTCCTTCACTGGCCTTGGTGTCTGCAGAGTCTTTTCTCACATATTCTCACTCCTCTCTCTTGGCTGCTGCACAGCACTTTTTACCTTTTCTTAAATAGGTGATTACAGAGGTAATTCCTGGGAAGTAGGGCCTCAGTATGTGTAGCAGCTGTTCTGGAAGATGAATACTCCCTCCCTTTCTCCTTTATCTTAGCTTTTGTGTCTGACCGTGCCTTCATATGGTAGAGAATATTGCTTGGGTCAGCTGTTCTGGCTCTGTCCCTTTCCAGCCTCTTGCTCAACCCCAGCCTACTGGCCTTTGGAAGGGGAATTGCAGAGGCAGCCTTGATGCTGTGGGAGCACTGCTCAGCCAAAACACTGGTGTGATATCAGCACCTTTCTACTAGAAATACAAAGCACAGCATTATGAGGGCTGCTGTGGTGAAAGTTAACTCCATCCCAGTCAGACCCACTGTAAAATGGAAGTGAAAAATCAAGTGTCCTGATTTCATGCACAAAGAAAGTTTTCTGGTCAAAGCTTTTCAAGCATTTGCCTTCCACATAAAGTAGATTAAAATAATTTGATTTTATAAACTTTTAGGCCAAATATTTTAAAGCTTGATGGAAAATTTAAATTCCATCTAAAATTTAAATGGACAGAGTGACCCACCTCCCTATTCCTCCCTGGTTTTCCCTATCTAAAACACTTCTTAAAGTTTGTTTCTCATTCCAGGTAACATTTGTTGCAGAAGCTACTCAAAATTAAGTTGATATTCCAGAATGATGTTCAGAGAAGCACATTAGAGTTTAAACTCTTTGCATGTTTGGAATTGTGATTATGTTAATTTGTCTAATCTGGAAATTTACAAAGAATTTTGGAAAGTCTTTCAATTAAGTATCCTCTACATATGTGTAGGTAAACAGTGTAGCATACCAATTTTTAAGCTAATAAGATTTCTGTGCTCTGGATGTTTTCCTACTGATTGTGTTCAACTCTTAAGAAGAAAAAGAAGAAACCCTTTTAGCAAAAAAGGTGGCATTGACCTGTGACATCAGCCGGCTGAGAGAACTGCGTGAAGGCTTAATGGCAAAGCTTCCGTACCTACAGTTTGAATACAAGTAAGATCTTGGTGTGATCCTAAAAAATTTTTGAAAGTGCTTTTTGGGACATATTATGCGTGGCATATGGGACTTAAAGGATAATTCCATCAATTACTTAACTATTGCTTTCTTTTTAGTGCCAGTGAATAATGACTATATTACCTGTGATGCCAGTGAAGAGGGAATGTTAGCTGAAATGTTAACCAAATTACTAGACAGCAGGGAAAATGAAAATGATATAGTCATTCTTAAATGACAGCCTTACCAAAATAATGGGAATTTAAGTTTTATATGATGGTGTTTGCAAGCCATTACTCAACTTCAGTAGCTGAAACCATAGAACCTAAAGTCTAAACTGCAAAAGTATGTAGTCATTGCTTTTCAGAGTCCTGCCTAAGGACTGTTGAGTAGACTAGCTTGGTGGAGGTCAACATATCTATCTCCAGTCGGATATATGTATCCCCAGATTTATTTGCTTATGTAATAATCAGTCTGAACATATTCCTATAGCTGTGCCAATAATAGAACCCATAGTAAAAAGACATTGAGAATTGCATGAACAAATTATACCAAAATCAGGAAGGACATTCATTTAATGACTTTTATAACTGACTCTTTATTGGGAAGTCTCTTGCCCTGAACGATTTGTTTTAACAATTTTCTGTGATTTTTTTTTTTTCTGATAGAATTTAGAATTTTGAATACCAGTATAATAAGCAGTATGAGATTTTAAATACAAATTTTTTTAAGATGTGTGGGAGAGAAACGAGCATGTGATTTATCATAATTTAAACTTATTTTAAGATATCCAGAAAAAAATTGGAATCAAACCTGTGTGAAAGGCCTTGTTGTGTTTCTTATCATTGTGAAAGATGTATCCAAAGCAAAATCCCTAGAAGCGGTGGCTGGAGGGAAACTCTATAACATTATTGTGGACACAGAGGTATGTTTGCATCCTGGTTTTGGCTGGGATAGAGTTAATTTTCTTCCTAGTAGCTGGTACAGTGCTGTATTTTGGATTTAGTGTGAGAATAATTTTGACACCAGACCGATGCTTTAGTTGTTGCTAAGTAGTGCTGATCCTAAGCTAATGATTTTTCAGTTTCCCATGTTCTGCCTGATGTACAAGAAGCTGGGAGGGAGCATGGCCAGGACAGCTGACCTGAGCTAGCCAAAGAGATATTCCATACCACCGAACACCATGCTCAGTACATAAACCGTGGGGAGTTGGCCAGGAGGGGGTGGGTTACTGCTCAGGCATCAGGCAGTCGGTGGTGAGCAACTGCATTGTGCATCACTTTCTTTTCTTGCATTTTATTTTTCTCTCTCCCTCTCTGTTATATTTCTTCTCCTATTATTATCATTATTGTATAGTATTACTGTTATTATTATGTTTTACTTTATTTTAGTTATTAAACTATTCTTCTGGTGCTTAGTTGCTGGCTGGGATTAAACCATTACAGTTATTACTTTAATACAGAGCTCCGTTGAGATGATATCGTGTGATTCAGGGTTAGTGAGTATGTGCATTGTTACTGAATGCTTAAGATGTGGTTTGAATCCAGGTACGTGTTTAAATTAGGTCAGGAGGTATGTTTAGTTACTGGCAATAATATATTCCTCTTGCAATGCCCTATTGTCTTACTTCACAAAATCAGTTATGTATTCAGGTATGCTTTGTAACTCTTCTTATTTGAGGTTACTGCCAGAAAGCTTTTAGAAAAGGGTGGACTAAAGCATCGGTACACCGTCATTCCACTAAACAAAATTTCAGCCAGGTCTATTGGACAAGACACAATCAAGTTGGCCCAAACCTTGGTATGTAAATAAATACGCTATTTACACTATTTTGCTTGTGTACCTTTTTTGTTTCTTTTGTTTGACGGTATCTTGATTTTACTTTTTTCCTTTGTATCCTTTCAGCTATGTAATGTTTAAATGGATATTAATTATTTCACTTCTAACTGAAATTGTTTTAAAATGTAATGATGTTTTTAGAAAGTCTTTTTATTAAGAGAAGACATGAAATTTGAAAATTCTTATAATTTAAGACAAACTAATTGCATTTCATTTGATTTCTAGGCTGGTCATGATAACTTGAGCTTAGCCATTTCTCTAGTTGGATATGAGTCTGAACTGCAAAAAGCAATGGAATATGTTTTTGGAGCAACACTGGTCTGTAGTAACATGGATAGTGCTAAGAAAGTGACCTTTGACAAAAGGATAATGATAAGAAGTGTTACACTTGATGGAGATGTGTTTGATCCCCAAGGCACCCTGCATGGAGGCAATTACTGGTTTTGTTCATATAATAATACTGTGTGCTTGTAGATTTGTTTACTGCTCTGCTTGTTCTTTATAAAAATCAACAGTAACCTTTTTGTTTAGACTCATACTGGGGGTAACATTACCAGTTTGAGCAGTGATTTGTCTATCTTGAGCTGGAATAAGATTGATTAGACTACGAAAAATTTTTGGCAAACTATTTGCCTAAAGTAACTTAGATTTTATACTTAAATCTTATTTGGCTATATAATCCTCTTGGAGGCAGAAATACTTTGAATTCAGGCCCTTTTTGAAATAATAGAGGCAATTTCATGAATTATTAAAAGTTAGTTAATTTCACAACAAATGCACATGTAGTACTCAAAGTCTGCAGAACTAAATTCTCTAACAGAGCAGGTAGTCTTTCTCCACTGAGAACTACTGTAACTCTAGCCTAGCCGACTTTGTTTTGTGACAAAAACAAATCATCAACCTGCATCATTATTAATATTTAGAATGTGCTATCTGCCAGTGGTGAATCCACTAGTCTAATTCCAATTAAGTTGACTTTGTTTTTTTTTTTTCACTAAACAGGTGCATGCTTACAGACTGTACCAATACTGTCTAAAGTTCAAGAAGTGAAAGATGCTGAAGAAGAACTCAAGACAAAGGAATCTGAACTTGAGACTGTAGAGAATGAGTTGTCAAGCTTGAAGAAAGTTGCTGAAATGTAAGGTTTGCCCTATAAAATGTCTATCATTTCTCTGATGTGACTGAATAAATGTAATATAAAGAAGTGTTTTTGGAGAGTATAAGGCCTTTTGAGAATGTAACATGCAGAAAATTATTCCCCTCCTCCCTCTTGCTCCGCTGTTTAATTTGTACATACAGCAATCAACAAGCAAACTTGGTTGTTAAATAGCAAATGCAAGAAAACTTTATTTTGGGTTATACAGGGTAAAAAATGGCGTACAATGATGTCTACTTGAAGTCACTTGAAGTTTTCCAAAGTTACATGAAGTCCACTGAAGAATGGATCTGTTCCAGATGTGTTTTGTAACACCCATACAGAATTTCAGTTTGTGATAGCTCTTATTTTTCTCTCAAGAAAATATAAATATACTAACAGGGAATATCTGAGTGATATTGCTGTAAGGATTTCAATTAAATAATTTCAAGTATATTTGATTTTCAGCTACCCAATTACTCAAGATCTCTTTATAAAATGGAATATAAAAAAACCATGGTCAGTCAGTTCTGTAAAAATCCATTAAAGAGTTAGTGTTGTATAATATACTATCTACTAGCTGGATTTATTTTTCACATTGTTTTCAGTTGTAATAGACTTCCTGAAATATAACCAAAAGGAAGAAATGAGTTTTGCTTATAGATATTTTTTCTTTAATGCTTCAGCCAAGCATCAGTCATGCTGCCAGATGAAAAACCATGAGTTCGGAATTGTTGCCAAATTCCATGAGTTGCATTTGTTTGGTTTTTTTTTTTAATATATCTTGCCAAGGCTACATAACCAGGAGTTACGTAATTTACCTACAAAATTCACAATTGCTATTAAAGAAATTATATCAGACTTTCATGCCTTTGAGTTTATTTGTCCTACAGTCATTATTCTATCTCACATTAGAATGGGAATATAAGTATTTATCTATTTCCATGTCTACTTATTTCAACTTTGAAGCTGAAGTGCTGGGTACCCTTCATTGTAACAGTGTATATCATTATTGTCCTCAAAGGTACCAGCAACTGAAGCAGCAGTGGGAGATGAAGTCTGAGAAAGCAGAGATGTTGGAAATGAAGCTTTGTCAAAGCACTCATCACAAACAAGAAGAAGAGCTGCTTGTTCTGAAGAAAACGATTGGTGACAAATATGTTCTTAATCTTTTAACTGAAAACTAATTGCTAAGAATGAGATGGATATTTGGCTGTTTGAGCAGCAGAATCTTTGCTTTAAAAAAGATATTTTTCACTTTGAAAATACTAGCTTTATATTTTAGAATCTGTAACATACAGAATTACAGTAGATTTTCATAGAGGTGATTGACATGAGGTTGATCATTCTCTTGTAGTAAAGATTATATTCTTAAGTGTTTTACATACTTTATAATAAAAGGAAAAATGGCTTTGCTGGGAAGTTTTAAAATGGTTTTAATCCCACATTTGAGTAATCTTTGTTTTTTCCAAGCCATCTGTTTCTGTAGATATTTATGGGTAGCAATATAAATAGCTTGTGTATCAAGAAAACATTGGAAAGAATTACTGTGTGTGTAGGTAAGGAAAAATGTGAAAGGAAGCAAATGCAGCAATAAGTAAAACTTTTAAAGAAAAAAAGATGGATAGAAGTGATACATATGTAGACATAGTATTTTAGAGATGAGGTATTATCTTATTAGGTAGCCATCTGATTAATTACTATTTGATCATGTGATTTGGTGTATACTTTGTCAGAAAAAGAAAACAGGATTATTTTCATTAATTTTAATGACTGGTTGTCTATTTGATGCCCTACTAATAACTGGTAACAGCATACTGTCTTCAAGTAATCACTGAAGTAGCTAACTTCAGTAACTAGCAAATGTACAACCACTCTTTTATCCTGTTAGAGGCAAAGACAAATTTATTTCAGTTGGAGTTTAGGACATAAATTTAAAGATAAGAACAATGCACAATCTTAATACTGTACTACTTGATTCAGCGGAGTGTGAAGAGACATTAGAGAAAACTAAAGAGATGCAAAAGAAAGCCGAAGATACATACAAGATATTAGAGAATAAAATGAAAAATGCGGCAGCAGAATGTGAAAAAGAACTAAAAAATGCACAGCAGAAACTAGATGATGCCAGGAAAAAGGCAGATGCTTCAACCAAAAAAATGAAAGAAAAGCAGCAGGTAAAACTTAAATTTTTAAAAATTTTAAAAACTTTAAAAAATGTTCTCAATATCAAAAGTGGTTGCAGTAATCAGAAAGCTTGATTCTCTTAAAGTTTTAATACTGTCAGTTTTGGAACTTATTGTATTACTCCGTAGTCACTGACATAAAAATTGCTGATTTTTTTTGTGTGCGAGATTAACAGTACGCATTCTTCAGCAAGGGGGCAATCTACAGTATTTATTATGTCAAACAATGTTAATTCTTTCCATTTAAATATAACTAATACATTTAAAAACATCTCTAGGAAGTTGAAGCTTTAATTCTGGAACTTGAAGAGCTAAAACAAGAACAGGCCTCCCATGAACAACAGATGGCAGCTGTACAGGAAGCAATCCAATCCTGCCACAAGGAACTTACTGCTATGGCAGCTGAGGTGTCTAAGACAGAGGTAAAAGTGAATACTGTGGTTCATTATCTGTTTTGATATTACTGAAGATAAGATGCCCTAAAGCTCAAATTATAATGTGTATTTTGTTGTTTGGATTTTCTTGCCAGCACTCAGTTATGTTTAGCCTAGTAATACAGTTATGTTTTACCACATGTGAATTTTTTTTTTCTTCATTCTGTGTTGTGTCCTTCTCTTCCAATGACTGTCTTATCACCAGAAATTAAAAGAAGTTAGTAAATGGCTATTTGATTTGCTTTTCAGGAATCTGTGGAGAAATCACAGAAGGAACTGGCCGAGCAAAAGGAAGTAGTTATGCTACACAATAAAGGAATTAAGAAGAAATCTGCAGAGATAATAAAATACAAAAGAGAATCTAATGAATTGCAGCTTAAGATTAAAGAATTAGAACACAACATTGGCAATTATCAACAAGAGAGTATTGATGCTGATGCCAAGGTATTTCAGAACTGTGCTTTTCCTTGCATTTTGTGACCAAGAGTGGTAATTTCCCTTGCCACATGCAAAGGAAATAGCCTTTTTTTCTTAATAAGCTCTGTCATATTTCCAGCTCTTGATGTGAGAAGTTTTATCACAGGAGAAAAGGGGGTGGAGACTAAATCGTAACAGGTCTTATCAGCATGGACTAATAGAGGGTAGAACACAGTGAGAAAGTGATCAATGGGAAGAGCATTCTGACTGTATGGACAAATAATGTAACTAATCAAAGAAGCTAATCCTGAGATTTAGAGACAGTGGCTTAGTCCAGATATAGAAAAACTTGTTCCAAGGAAATGTGATGGGTATATGTGAAAGCATTCTTGAAATCTTGGTTCATCTACAGTCTTGGAAATCACAGGAAGCATTGTAGAGGTATGCACCTGTGCTGTGTCAGGATAGAAGAATTACATGTTGTAGAGTAATTTTAGGATGCTGATTTCTATTATTTTTGATTCACATTTGAGAAGACAGGGGAGAAAAAAAAAAAGCCTCAGCATACCTTACTGTTTACAGGTGGCTAAAATGCTGAAGGAACATAAGTGGATAGCATCAGAGAGAGCACTATTTGGTCAGCCAGACACAGTCTTTGACTTTAAAACCAAGAATCCTGAAGAAATATATCAGAGGGTGCAGGCATTGAAGGAGCAAAAACGGAAGTTGGAAAAGAAACTGAACATGAAAGCTATGAATATACTTCCTCAAACAGAGGAGAGGGTAAGCATTCTGCGCTTTTAACTTACAAAGATTGGGTGGGTTGTGTATATGGTATTATGTATAATGTAGCTTTATGTTTTCATATGCTGTTTCTGGAAACACCAAAAATAAAACTTAAGGCTTCATGAAATAGCAGGAGACATTTTATTAGATCTTTTATACTAATCTTACATTTTTGCACTATTCACTTGGGCACTAGTTTTCTAGGTTATGCATAATCTCGACTTCGGATAGTAAAAAGGGTAATTTCATTCCTGTTATCCCAGTCCATCCTAAATTGGCAGCAGCAGCATTAGGGAAGCTTTGTGGTATCCATTACAGTATCTGAGAATTACATACTTGTAATAAAGGTTGCGGATCAAAAAAAATATTAATCTGAGTAAGATAGCTTGAAGATGTTCCAGGGTTGTCTCAAATTAATCTGTATCTTGAGGCTATTCCAGGATTGTCTCAAAACTGTCCACTGACTGACACCTGTAACTTCTCTAGTACTGTTTTGTGATTAGAATTAACCTATTCTTCCCATCAGTCTCCAGAAACATCCTTTCTTATGTGGAAAAGCAAATGAAACATGATTAACTTGAAAAGGAAGTGCAAGTTTCAGAGTAATGTTGGTCTTCCACTTTGCCAATTGTTGAAAATCCTAATGCTTTAATTTGCAAATAATATCCTAAAACTTAAATCTTGCATACAACTAAATGAATGCTTTGGATTTCAATCTTGTGGTTAATGGCTATTTCATAGTTACAAAAATGATAAACAGTGAAACTGTAAGATTAACACAGGATGTATTTGAGTACAAAGTTAATGGAAATTGATCTTTTCTTCTCTTGCACCAGTACAACGACCTAGTGAAGAAAAAAAGAATTGTAGAGGGTGACAAGTCCAAAATTCTTGAAGTTATTGAAGACCTTGACAAGAGAAAAGCTATAGCTTTACAGTTTGCTTGGAAAAAGGTATAGCACTTAAAATCTAATCTTCACATTTCAGCAGAGGATCAGATTTGTCTTAGATTACTGTTTTGCATATTTCCATCAAAAAAAAAGTCTCCAGAAATAATCTCCCTTGCCTAGTATTTAAATTACAAAACTACCACTTAATTTCTCCACTGTAATTTCTCATTTATGAGAGTAAGACATGAATTCTCTGAGAATTGTAAAGATACAGTTAAACCTGCAAAACTACTTTACCATTCCCTTTCAGTGCCCACAAAAATTTAAGGAAGGCTAAAATACTGGCATGCTGAAATCATTGTTTCTCACATGGATGTTGAACGAAACTGATACAGTCTATTTTTCTTCTTGTTTGTTTAAACCAATACTTGAACAGTTAAAATCTTCTGGTTCTGTGTAGCCCCATACAATGAGGAGCTATGGACCTGGGCTATTGTTCCTGTCACTGATAAGACAGGTCATACTGGAATAGATCAACAACTGATTTATGTTTCTGTTACCTAAGCACTCTGCCTTGTTACTACTTCTCTCATATCATGAACCATAACGAAAGTATAAATTTTTTCTTTCCCTTTCTACACGGAAACAACTTGACACATTCCTGTTGTACCAGGAGAACTTGTACTTTTTGGCCTTTGAGAAGATTGATTATATCTGAGGTTAAATTGTTCACAAACGAAGTATAAGTTTTAATAATTTTTACTGCCTGTACAAAAGGTATTACTGACAAAATGGTACCTTTTCACTGCAAAATCTTGTTTGGCAAAAATAATTGTATTTGAAAGCATCATAAGTGGTGGAATAAGTGTGTTCTCATATACGCTTCTTGACCTAGGAAATTTTAATCTGTGTTTACAAAGTTGCATCCCATCCCATACCTGGATGTTGCTTAAGGAATCCTGGGAAGAAAAATAGTGGGGGGGGGATGCTGGTGTGTGCCTCTTACAAGGTGCTTATACTTTTAATAGTCCTTTAATTGGGAGAAAATACCATTTACCAGTTAATAAATCTGAGGTAGGGCATTACCATTTCCCTGGATGACAGCATAAAGAAACCTTCCAATATTTCTTTCATTTGATCCTTCTAAAATGGTTAGTATAAGGTGTCCTATATATATATATATTTATTTATTTATCCATCAGTGTTGCTTCTCCTTCCAGTAGAGAGAAAAGATTCAGTATGCTAATACTTTCTCACTATCCTGTATGTGCTAATCTTCAAGGCATAAGTCACTGAGTTAAATTGGGCAAGATGTCTAGAGTATAGTGCAGCTTATCTCTAAGTTTTCAGCTGTTTGTGCTCTTGATTAAAAGGATGTACATACATTTTTATGGTCTGACTTGTAGGTGAATGAAGACTTAAATTCAATTTTCTCAACGCTTCTACCAGGAGCCAAAGCAATGCTAGCACCCTCTAAAAATGGGGATATCTTGAATGGTCTGGAGTTCAGAATTGCCTTAGGAAACATCTGGAAGGAAAACTTAACAGAACTTAGTGGAGGACAAAGGTTGGTGAACTTTGTGGGATTTCTGTTTGTTTTCCATTGCAGTTATGTGTATAGTTGATGTATCTAGCTTATTATTATTAGTTCAGAACTGCAAAAAATTAATCTTTTGCTAGTTAAGTCAGGGAGTCTGTCTCCTTCCAACCTGACTTAATATTGAAATTATTCATCCTAAAGAAGAATCTGACCTAAAACAATGCGTTACTTGGCATATGATAAAAACCAAGATTTTGTTCCATGCAGAAGTGACAAAAATTGAGTGGTAAGAAAACTGCATTTAACTCTAGGTGGTACTGCTGAATTAAATGCTTCAACCTTTGAGTTGTAATCTATGTAGACAAGTTCTGCCCAAGTGTCAAAGTAGTGTCATGGTGACAGTTTTCTTCTTCAGTGATTACAGCAATCATGTAGGGTCTGTACTTCTTTGCAAATTGAACAAATTGAAAAGTAGAAAGGGAATTTAGGAAGAGGCAAGATAGATACAGAACTTTGTGAAGTACAGAATGCTTCAAGAACTGTACATTGAAAAACAGTGCTGCAAATCTCAGAATTGAAAACATGTAAAGCAACAGCATGATTCTAAATATCATCACACAACTCACCTGATCTTCTGATAAAAAAAGTAACATTTGTTATTTCTGGCAGAGGGCTTCACATTGTAAAATCAGAATTTGTGGCAGAAGCTGTCATTCTGTCTCTTCAGAACTTGTAGCATAAATCTGCTTTTGAGAGAGCTTTTTGTTACTACTGAACAATTGTTTTTATAAGCCAAAGCCTCTCAAACAAGAGGATAAAACATAATTTTCTTGTTCTCTGTATTAGATCATTGATGGCCTTGTCCTTGATCTTTGCCATCCTTCTCTTCAAACCCGCCCCAATTTACATCTTGGATGAAGTGGATGCAGCCCTTGATCTCTCTCATACTGAGAATATTGGGCAGATGCTTAAGGCTCATTTCAAACACTCCCAGGTATGATCTTGGAACTATTGTAATCATCTATTTATACACTTCATGATTATCAGAGGCAGTCTGCTACTGAGGAGTCTCAGGTGTTTGAGTATTTTATTCCAGAGACCTGTGTTGTATTTTTAAGTTGTTTCAACTGGAAGTTACACAGATGATATGGCAACTATGAAATTTCTAGGGATTACATTTTAATGTAAGATGTTACTGCAGTGGGTAAAAACCAAGTAGTAATAGGGAAGAATATCTGTGATACAATCAATTTTGGGCATGAACCACATTTTGAATTTTTGTTTGTTTTTTGCTAGTTCTTTAACCTGGGCTTTAAAAGTATCTTGCCTTTGACCCTGTTGAAATAAGCCAAGTGCTAGTGAAAAGAATCTCTGTATCACTGTGGCCTGTGCATGAAAAAAATCTGTATACCTGAAGAAACTTACTACACAAAGTGAAAGGCAGTACTTGCTCTATTTGGTGGTAGGACATGACCTTACCAAATGGAGAGGATGGCAACATTTGTTACCAGTGTTTTAAAATAATTCCAGCAGTATCTTTAGACTATGAAAAGTCCTGCATTCTTACAAAATTTGTGGCAACACTGTAATGGTTTGGGCCTGGTTGGCAGCCAACCACCACGCAGCAGCTCTCTCTCCCTTCCCCTCCAGCAATGAGAAGGGACAGAGAGCCAGGCTTGGGGTTAGAGATAGGACTGGGATGGGGGAAAAAAAATCCCCCTTTATGGGCTCAAGCAAAAGGCAGACTTGTTAGGGGAAGAGAGAAAAGGAACATACATTTGTTACAGACACTAACAACACCTAACAGAGTAGGACAGTGAGAAGCATTGCCACATCTTGAGAACACCTTCCCCTCACCCCTCCCTTCTTCCCGGGCTCAGCTCTGCTCCCGATATCTCTACCTCCTCCCCCAGTGGCGCAGGGGCAGGGAATGGGGGGTGCAGTCAGTGCTGCCACTTCCTTCATCTTCGGTGAGGGGAGTGTCCAAAACTTGTTACCCCCTGCTCCATCGTGGTCCCCCTCTCACAGGAGACAGTCCTCCACAAATTTTCTCTGACTTGAATTCCTCCCATGGGCTGCACTGTTCCCCACACTGCTCCGTCATGGGTCACTAACTTTCTCCAACTGGATTCCCTCCCACGGCTGCAGCCCTTCCCGAGCTGCTCCGGCGTGGGACTCCCCCGCATGCTGCAATCCTCCCAGCACTGAATTACAGCAGTGGGGCTACCTTTTCCCATGAGACCCCGACCTTCTTTGGGCACAGAACCTTGATCAGCAAGCAGGAGCCACAGGCCATAAATCAATGTCTGCTCCACCGTAGATCTCCATGGGTGGCAGGGGGGGCCGCCCTGCCGTCTCACCACAGGATACAGGAGGGTCTCTGCTCCGGCACACCTCCCCCCTCCTTTCTTCCTCCGTTCCCCCACTGACCTTGGTGTTCATGCAGCTGCAGCAACTCCTCCTCACAAGTTCCCCTGCCCGTCACCACGTCCCTTCTTAAATACGTTATCGCAGAGGCGCAGCTGATGGGCTCAGTTTTGGTGCAGAGGTGGAGCTGACTTGGAGCTGGGGGAGCTTTGAGAAGCTTCTCACAGGGGGCCACCCCGATAGCCCCCTCCCCTGCCACCAAAAAACTCCACCACTCAACCCAGGACAAACATTTTTTCTAGGGATTAAGCCACCCTGAACAGGACAGGCGTTCTGTGTTGTGGCCTGTAAGCCAGATCAAGCGCTGGGATATCGACATGTTTAGCTGCAGAGAATGGCCTGTGTGTATATGTTAACCTGCTTAGCACATTCTGTTCTTCAGTTATGTTTAGAGTATGTTTTTGAGAATTACCACCAAGATATTAACCAATTAAAGTAAAAGGAATCTTCTTTCGTAGAAGCCTTTTACACTGTTTAAAAAGTTGTTATTTGGATGGCAGCATTTACTTACTTTAAGCTTTTTGTTTTGTTTTAGTTTATTGTGGTGTCCTTGAAGGATGGAATGTTCAACAAAGCAAATGTCCTCTACAAGACCAGGTCTGTGAATGGTGTATCCACTATTGAAAGATACAAACGGTCTAAAAAGCAAGAGAATGCAGCTGCTATCAAGAAAGAGAAGAAATGATGTGACAAAACAGGACCTGCAGAACTGGGAAACTTCAGTGACACTTCCTGTGCAGTGTGTTCTGGCCCCATTCTGTAGTTAGGCCAGGAAGAAATTTTAATTTTTAACAACAAAAAGTAAATTAATAATGTTTTTTAAATATCGACATATTGCTTTTATGGAATATCAACATATTCTTTTTGTTTTCTAGCTTTTAGTTTGCTTTTCATTAAAAACTGAAATGTTCTGTTTTATAGCTTCATCTTCCTTGTATTTGTGTACACAGTATCTCCATGGAATATAACTGTGTGTATATTTTATGTATATAAGTAATAGATACACACTGTCTAGTTGCAAGAGACCAAGCTCTTGGCTTAAATTCAGTTTCTCCTACCTGGACACCACCATTTGTAAAATGGCCACACTCAGGCTGAATAGCTGACTGTGCAGACCAAGTGCTGTGTGGTTAGGTTGGGGCCTGAGGCAGGTACGTCACCACGGAACACAAAGGCACACTTTGAATTTGGAACACAAGAATACTGTAAAATACTTGCAGTGGGAGAAAAAACTACTACCAGTCACTTCGAAGAACAGGTCATGCAGCTTTTATTTAATTTTACCTTTTTGGTAAGCAGGAGGGTTTTCTTTCAGTCAGACCAGTCACATACTTTGACAGTACAGATTGCAGTGAATTTGATGGAGATCTTGCAACATTAGAAAACTTTTCTCACACATCCATTTAAGCAACAGCTTGTAGGTCAGAATGTGAGTGCTAGAGTCGAGTCTGCACACTGCACTCTAGGTATACAAAGCATTGCAGCAGCACAAGAAAGGCCCGTGCGGGGCAAAGTACAGTGTGTTTTACATAGTGCAATCACTTTTAGAGGAAAAACTCTAGGAAGGCCACATCTATTTATTTATTTTTTTTAAATCCTGTCAAGTTTACAAATGCGAGGGGGTAGAAATCAAACCTCTGACTGAATTAGCTTTTGTACAGGTAGGTTTTGTGTATAGGCACGTGCTTTAGAGAGGAGCTCTGAATCTGTTCTGTAATCACGAGAAAGACCTATTGCTTTGTGATTCAGAAACTGTTAAACCACCTCTAACCTTCCTAACACTCTTGGCCAGAGTTGTTAACCCAGCTGTTTGTAGAGTTCCTAGAATATGCTCTTCCCTCTAGTGTAAATCCCCAATAGAGAAACTCAGGTTGCTATTGACAATGATTACAGTTATTCTACTTATGGCCATCTGACCATATCAGGCATTGCCTCTGAATACTCCAGTCCACAGTGAAAACTCACAGTACCAGACAGGGAGGCTCTTGCTTTTCTGTTACTGTCACTCACCAATATGAAAAAAAACCCAAGTCAGACAATGAACTGCTTCAGCAAAGCATCACTGATAATATTAATCTAATACAAAAAAAAAAAAAAAAAAAAAAAAAAGCATTCATGACACTACAGGTCATGGTAAGCAAGTTTTTAAAGATACTTCAAAATGATTTGCCCGTAAAATTTTAAAATATACACTGTGCTCAAGAGTTCAAACTACACGTAAACAAAGAGCAGCTCCCTGCAACAAGGTGTAAATCAAAACATTATAGCACCAGCTCCCAGCACCAAGGAGTTGCCCACTGACCAGTCCTAGTGTACAATGCAATAGTGCTCGCTGAGGTTTCTGCTACACGAGAGCCACAGTGGGACAGCTCTGCCCATTTGCTGACATTTTCTTACCAAGCAGGCACAAATTACCTTGTCCTCCCTTCCCATGGAGAGCAAGTCAGACAACGAGACTGTTACAGTACCAGAAAACACTGAATGGGAAATGGCACCTGAGGGAAAAGTAGGTACTGCATACCTGATTCCGAATAAATGGGCATGGAGGAAACGTGACGTTATCTGAGCAATCCTCTCCCTAACAGGTCAAGTCTGAAAGGAGCTGTAAGAAAAGAAACAAGCCTTCCTATGCTGAAAGCCATGGACACGATATTGCCCACACTAATGATTTTATTTCACCATCAGCAAAGCATTTATCCCCAAAAAGCTGTACACATCCTGGTCAGATTATGGTGCAGTGCTAACTTTGCACTATTAAAAGTCTGTTGCTATAGTGGTCAGGTGTGTCTTTTATCTGAGGAGGGCAAAGAAAAGGAGACAGGTATCATGGCCACATCATCATATAGCAATTTTACTCCACGTTAATGCAGATATAATCTTAAGTGCAAATTAAAATGTATTTGCTAGAAACCAGCACAACTTGGGCTGCTGAGAAATGACAGATGATTCAGTTTCTTACAAATATTGACAAGTCTAAATCATTACAGGTTTCCAAAGCAAGAACAGGGTTACGAACAGGAAGGGAATAAAACATTACCACTATTAAAAAAAAAAACCTGACATTGCAAACTTTGAACACTCTTCAAAAACGTATCTAGAAAAGATTGTTTTCCTTTTTTTTTTTTTTTGACCCGCAGCTGAGGAGTGTCCATGCAAAACAATTTTGAGAAGAGCAGTGTTCCACCTGGGCACCAACTAGGCCCAACTTTGTCCCACACAGCTCAGTAAAGTGCTCTCTTGTGCATCCTTTGAGGAAAAAATGTTCGCATTTAAAGTTTGGGAGGCCGAGGTTTCTAGCTGGGGAAGGCATAGTCTCGGTCAAGCCATGTTGAGGTCACAGGAGGAAGGAGCAAAGTTAACAGTACTCTGCCTCTCGTAACTCACAGACAACAGGCTGCAAGTTGGGGAGCAAGCAGGAGAAACAGGTGGGTGTCAGATGAAACCCTGCTCCTGGGAGCCACAGGAGTTTTAACACAGGCTTCATCAGGGTAAGCATTTCATTCTTTATATATAACAAACACTAACTCTACTGCAGAGTCCCAAAGATTTACTGTTTTAGACACCAGGTAATAGATCTCCACCCACAACTTAAGTGAAAATCAAATATGCTTTTCACTTCCTGTGCTGGTAGATTTTCCAACAATTCCTTTGAAGGACAAAGGGTATCTGAGTAACATTCTTCTGCCGATTTAAAGGGAAAAAAAAGCATCTTGCCCCCAACATTTTTTAAGTTGCACACTCATAAACATTCTAGGGCAGATCATTAGAGGTTTTTACGGATAAAACAACTAACCATCAACTTAAAAGAGTAAAAATAACATTAATGGGGAAAAGAATTTAAGGCATTTTTTGTTTTGGCCAGGAATGATGCATGCTACAGAGTAATCTTCATTTTCCTACTTGGTTTTCAGACCACTGCACTTTTTTTTGTTTTACATGGCACTTTGTGTTTTACAACTTAGTCAAGATTTTCAAGTGTTTTCTTCAATATAAATGCCTTCTCTTGTAGCTCAGGTCTGCTATCTAATGCCATCGTAGACAATGAACGAATGAGGTGCTCTCTGCTTTCTGGTGTCAGGCTTTCCCACTGTTGAGCTTCTGTGTAGATAAAGACAGACAGATACTGAACATGAATACTAGAATGCCACAAAAACCAAAAGGCCACCTCCATCCCTACAGGCTGAAAGCGTCTGCTTTAACATTTCATTAGCAGTTCATCCTGCTCTTCCAGGAGGAGGCAAATTCAACTGGACACTCAGGTGCATGTGCTGCCTCCTGCACAGGGAGTCACGCCTGTTCAGGCTATGCTTGATTGTCTAAGCCTGTAACACGTGAAAACAAGGGCTTGAAGAAACAAACGTTTCCTACTTGACAATTGCTTCATGTAAGAAGATTTTTGCTAGAATAAAGGAAATATGAAGTGCATAACAAAATCCAAAGGAAACATTTGCTGCAGAACAACTGCAGACACATGATCATGAGACCGAAGTAAATTCTGCAAGGCTTAAATCCAAAATTAACAATGAGGAACTAAAATTGGCATTGAAAGGGTAAAACTTACTCTTCTGCACAAACAGGAGCTCTCCCCTAATACGGAGCTTGCACATAACCCTGAATCTGACTACATTACTCAGTCCTGTGTGCTCTCCCCGGGACACTCCTTGCTGGACATCTTCCTCACCCTTTAGACCTTGGCTTTATCCACAGTTACTTCAAGCCCTCTCCAAGTTCTCCCGAGTTACCATGCACAGAACTCCCAAGCCCCAGATGCCCTGAAATCACCCAGTGCTGCAAGCAGACGGTAACACCATCTCTCCAGGCTTCTAGGCCACACAGCCAGGTGGGTGCCTTCTTTACCAAACAGTGGCCCTCCCAGGTGACAAGTAAAAAGTCTCACCTTGTAGTTTGGTGAGCAGCAGTTGTATCACAGACAAAGCTTCTGTTCTTATGGAAGTGTAGCTTTTGTTTTCTAAGGGATTTAAAAAACAAAAAAACCCACAACCACAATGAGAACCAAAGGCACACCAACTGTATAAAGAGCACCACCGTGGTCTCCAGACCACTTTTGTTACCATAGCTCAGAGCTCATTCGTGTGAGCAGTTTGCAGTGCTCCCCAATTAGACACATTTGAATGGGAGAAAGTGACCCACTGTAGGTTGATAAGTTGACTAAACCTTGTGCATCACCTCTCCTACTACCACGGCGCTACTGTTCCTTACACATATTGAAAGGCAACAACGCTGGCATAGTTGCAATGTGATCACAGACAACTTCTGTGCATAACAGACTGTTCCTTTGGTGAGTCATAATGGCTATAAACCATCCAAATTTTAACAAGTAGCATTAAGTGAGGGTACATAAACCCTGTAACATCAAGCACAAGCTTGTCACAAAAAGTTATTCAGTCTCCTGAGCTAAAATCTTGTTCAAGTCTCATTCCAGGAGGATAGACAGTTAAAAGAAACTTTCCTCAAAGGGCTCTCTGGATTGGTAGTTAGCTCTGAAGCAGATGCTGCCTTTAGGTACACCATAAACAAGAGCCACATGCATGATGAGGAGTCTTGGGGCACTGTTACAGTCACAGGACAAGTGGGAACACTACTGAAGTAATAAACAGCCACGCAACTGTCAACTTTACACAGGTAGCACTTATATCCCCATGGGTGTTTCACTTGTGCAGAGCACAAACTGCCTCAAAGCCTTGGAGGTTCATGCACCGGCTGAGAAAACTGTGCATGTGTATCCAAGAAGTCTGAATTGTGGAGAAGAAAAACTTGTTTCATTATATTGGCAACAGTTTGGTTAGGTGGGGTCCATCTTCTGCATAGAGAAAATTACTACTTGTCTAATTTGCACTCCTGAGAGGTTATACAGTCTGCTGTCTGCCTCTTCCTTCTCTTTCAAAGCTCTATCGCACCA